TGCTGTAACAACTTAACCATAAACTCAGTAGCTTCAAGCAGTGCAGATTTCCTCTCTGCCTGCCGCGGTAAGCAGAAGTCCTCTCCTTCATGCACCTGTGTGACCCCACTGTGTGCACCCAGATAACCAGATGGTCTTCCCGCCTCCAGGCCCTTAACTTGATTGCAGCTACGAAATCCCTTCTGCCGCGGGAGGTGGCACATTCACAGGTTCTGGCAGTTAGGATGTGCACATCTTTGGGGCCCGTTATTCCATCTGCCACATCCATAGCCATCTCCAGACCCCTTCCAGGAAACCCGGGCTCGGTCCAAGCTTTTCCCTCTGCCTGGAGTTCTCTCATCTCTCTCAGGTCCATAACTTGAGTCCTTCCTTTTCTAAAATAGACCCTTCTCAATGCTTATCCCCAAGGAGGATTAATAATCTCTCTCCCTCCCTCTCTGTCATTCTCCCTCTCTCCATATCGTGTTCATTTTATGCACAGAATATAATATCTACTCAACATCTGTGACCAGAATTCACTTTAAAATCTCTGCCTCTGAAAAATGACAAATACAATTGGAAAGGTCCTCTGTAGCATTCCTCTACTGACACTTTCTGTGCCCTTTCTGTAGGTGCTGCAATGGTTTTGCGGAAGAAATTTTCAGCCAGCCAGTTCTGGGACGACTGCAGAAAATACGACGTGACCGTCATCCAGTATATCGGTGAACTGCTCCGGTACTTGTGCAACACACCCCCGGTAACACTGCTTGCATTTTATTTTTGTTTGTTTGTTTGTTTGTTTGTTTCCAGTACCGGGAATCAAACTCACGATGACGTGGCACTTGCCAGGCAGGTTCTGTGCCGCTGAGCTAAATCCCCAGCCCTTTGCATTTTATTATCTTTTTGAGATAGATAAGATGGGAGTTCGGGTGACTTGGGGTGATGCGGGGCTCCAGCCAATGTGGATAGAAACTGTATAGCAGTTTTCTGGCTCCAGCCAATGTGGATAGAAACTGTATAGCAGTTTTCTGTTTAGTCCGTATTTGTTGTGATAAAGTGTTTGACCCCACACCTACCATATTACTTTTATTATGATTACTGCTCCCCACCTTGCTGCCTGTCTCCACATCTTACCCTCTGCATACCCTCTTCTTCTTCCCTCTTCTTCTTCTTCCCTCTCCGCTTATGGAAAGCCACTGTCAAAGCCCGGCTCAAACAATAGCTCATCTGTTAAGCCTATTTGAGACACTCAGACAAAAGTCCTTGCTCCCTGCCCTCACACCATTGTATCCCTACTGTGCGTGGCTGCACGTGGAAGCTGTGCGTCTTTTCCTACCTCCCTTCCTCCCAAGGCTGTGCCTTTTTAAGATCAGGAGTCACATCTTGCCTCCTTGTCCCTCCAAATTCCAAAGGCGTGTGGGAAACTGCTACTTAATGTTTAATGAATAAATCCCCTTGTAGGTGCCTAAAAAATAAGGTCATTTACAGAAAAAAAAAATTTTTTTTGGTTTTTTGAAACAAGGTCTTGCTCTATAGTCCAGGCCAGCCTTGAACTCACTTTGTAGCCCAGGTTGGTCTGAGTTCACGGTAATCCTCCTGCCTCAGCCTCCCGAGTGCTGGATTACTAGTGTGTACCACCAGGCCCAGCATAGGAAAAAATTGTTGATTAGAACAAGAGATTGGTAGAACTGAGTGTTTCTTTTCTGCATTTAGGATCTGAGCTAAAGTAAGACGTGTAAATAGGTGGGGAAGAAGAGGAAGGGAAGAGACCTGCTAGAGTTCTAGCAGCCAGGCACAGTGGTGGAGGCCCAGAATCCCACCACTCTGGGAGGCTGAGGCAGGATTGTACATTCAAGCCCGGACTTAACAACTTTAGCATGACCCTATGTTCAAAAACACAACCGCTGTGATTATAGCTCAGTGCCAAAACCCTAGCGAGAATACACACACACACACACACACACAAACACACAGACTTCTAAGAGCTACAAGTAAAAGCCGTGCTATTTGGAAGGGGAAGAAAGATCCGAGCAGACTAGCGCCATCTGCCTTCCCTCCCAAATGGGTGAACCCGGTGCTGTTCAGCCCGAGTCCCTGCATGGTAGGAACCAGGTCGGAGGGCTGTGGCAGCACCAGGCTGACTCAGGAGGAGAAAGCCAGGGGGAGGGGAGCCATGACGGCTCACGGAGGAGGGAAGGCTCAGGGCACAAGGAGCCGGCGCGTGGGGGACGCAGGCAGCAAGGTGGGGTGTGAGGCTGCAGCCCCAGGGCTCGGCTTTGCTGTGTGTGACTTCGGTGTGAGCACAAAGCCATCCCAGAAGGCCTTGTGGGAGGTGCCTGGGAGCCGTGCTTTGGATCAGTCAGGAGGAGGTGGGGACCGGGAAGCCTCCAGTAACACAGACAGCCTCATCCAGGCAGAGGGAAAGCACATGGGGTAAGAATGCAGCCTCTGCACCATTCATAGCAGCTGAGGTGTGGCCCAGCCTGAGTGCCTGTCAATGGATGAGTAGTTACAAAAATGTAGTCTATACACAGGATGGAATATTGCTCAGCCATCAAGAAGAACGAAGTCGTATCTTAGAGAAGAATAGACTGGACTAGAGACTTTTACATTAAATGAAATAAGCCAGACTCAGAAAGCTCAATATTGTAGGCTTTCTCTTATTTGAGTAATTTTTTTTTTATTTTTTGAGACAGGGTCTCCGTATGTAGTGCCAGCTGGCCTTGAACTCACTATGTAGCCCAGGCTGGCCTTGAGCTCATGACAGTCCTCCTGCCTCAGCCTCCTGAGTGCTGAATTATAGGTGTGCACCACCACATCCAGCTTGAGGAATCTTTTTTGGTTTTTTGTTTTTTTAAAAGGAGAGCTGACAGGAAGGTAGAAGGTAGACTATTAGAGGTGAGAAAGAGAATCAGCAAAGAACCAGGGGGCCACAGGAGGTGAAAATAATCAAATACGTTATGTGCGTGAGCCAGTATGCCACAGCAAGACCCAGTTATTCTATATGCTGTGCTAAGAAAATTAAAAATCAAATTTTTTGAAAGACATGGCCTCAGGCATTTTCTAAAATAGCGAAGACCTTCCACCCCTTGGAGGTCACCCAAAAACAAGGAAAACAAATCTTAAAAATCCACACATGCTCCATTGTGTGAGAAGCTAGGAGGCACTGCACCCATGAACTCCACGGCACGGACAGGTGAAAGCTGGCGGGGACAGACACAGCGGGGCTGAGGAAGGCAAAACTCCAGAGGTGAGAACCACAGCGAAATCTAAGGTTGGAGAGAAAGAGAGACAGAGGCAGGATAGGACTGGGGAGGTAGAGGCAGAGGCAGAGAAAGAGTGGGGGAGCAGGAGAGACAGAGAGAGAGAGTCTATAAGAATGATATTGGAATTGCCCACTGCAGTATATGCAAGGAGGAAGACGAAGGCAAAGGAGAGACGCTTTCAGATCCCAGAGAACAGTTATCTCCTGTCTCTATACCCAGCAATAGTAGCAACCAGGTGTGCAGTAAGAAAATTTCACTCAAAGTCTCAACAGCAACAACAGCAGAACTGACTTCTACATGTGCTGCTTCTGGAAGTTATGAGAGAAAGTGTCCCGTCCAAACAGGAGAGTGAAAACAGGAAGACACAGGGTCCGGGAAAGAGACAGAGGGGAGTCCAGGCCTAGACAACCGCTAGTCCAGACTGGAGCAGGACAAAGGGAAGCAGGATGGGGAACAGGAAGGTGCGCCGTGCAGTGATTTCCTCCTGAGGGAGACTGTGCTTGCGGGCTAGTGGAGGCTGAAGAAAGCAAATAGAAATAAGTAGGGGAAGCAAGCAGGCAGAGAGGACGTGCATTCCAGGAAAAACAAACGTGCTCAGAAATGTACTTGTAGTGCATTACGTGGTTCACTGCTGGTGTATTACAGGCAAAGTAATAGGACACTGACTATAAATTTAACCAAAATTTGGGACACTGGAAAAATAGATCAAGGGAGCCGTGAATCCTGATCAAGCACAACAGGAAATCTAAAATTGATGCATTAAGCGATAGCAATACAGAAGTCATAGGGCTACACTTCGGCAAGAACGTGGACTGGGAGCTTTCATCCTTCTTAAAGAGAAGCATTTAATTTAGAGATGCGAAGATATGAAGAGATAGTACCCGAGTTCAAAGTGTACACTTCCGGTAGGGATGGGGGACCACGGATTCTTCATTCAGAGCCTTTCGGTGCTACCTGATTCTTTGTTTTGTTTTTTTTGTTTGTTTGTTTTTTTCTTGCTTTTTGCTTTTTGAGACAGGGTCTTCCTATGCAGTTCAGGCTAGCATTGAGCTCACTTTGTAGCCTAGGCTGGCCTTGAACTCACAACGATCCTCCTGCCTCAGCCTCCTAAGTGCTGGGATTACAGGCAGTGCTACCTGATTCTTAAACTCAGTGTCTCACCTTTTTTTCTCCCGGTTTTAAACCAAGAACAGCCCTCTCTGAAGTCAGATCGGTCTGGATTTGACTCTTGCAGCAGCTCTTTTGCTGTCTTCGTGGTCTCGGGCTCACTTACAAGTCTCCCAGTGCTCCGTTACCTCAGCGGTAACGTGAGGCACGTTGTAACCTGCCACACCTGGATGCGTGTTTCAGAAACCTCGGGACGGTAATCCAGGCCTCACCCTGGCACAGACAAGACGCCATTCACTTCAATCACCTGGCCCCCCCGCGTCCCCCCAGAACCCTGCCCAATCGCCCCTTATCACCCCCAAAGCTGGGGTGCACAGAAGTCCCAGGGCTGCACCTTGGCAAGAATGTGGCCTGGGAGCTTTGATCCTTCTTAAAGAGGATGAGGAGGGGCCCCTTGACCTAACGCCCGTCCCTGGGAGGCGTGGTTTTGGTCGCAGAGAGGCACGGTGTCCCCTAGGAAGGCAGAACTCGAGTCCCACTCCACTCTTGACCATGGGTGAGCCAAAGCAGAGGTGAGAACCGGACACCTTAGAAGCTTCCAGGACCTCCTCCTTGTGTCCCCAAACATTTCCAGCTTACAGCCCTAATCGCCTCTGCAAGGGTAATAAGATCCCAGGGCTGTGTGCTGAAAACTGACCCCGTGGTATTGTGATGCTAAGCCGGCTGCCACCACCCCAGACGACAGCTGCACCTGTGCCACTGGCCAGCTGCCCCCGCACCCAGGGCACCTGCACCGCCTGCATGCTCAGCCCTGCCCCGTGCCCGTGGCCTACCACCAGCTACAGAACAGAGAAACCCACGGCCTCCTGGCCGAGGCCGGCTGTTCTCCCGCAGGGATTACGCTGCGTGCAAAGCCAAGATCCAGGCCCTGCGGAGCATGCAGAGATAGAGGCCTTGGAGGAGCGGGGAGGTGACCGCTAGACAAGGAGGAGGCAGAGTGTGCAGGGCAAACAGCGTATGGCGCCAGGCAGGCTCTGGGCTTACTGTGGGAGGCTGCTTCAGAGCTGCTCGTGGGCCGGGAGCAGGAAGCGCCGAGGGTGAGATGTTCCTCAAGGATTTATCCCAGCAGAAACATTTGAGGGAGAGGTACGGGGGCGCCAGGACCTCAGGCAGAGGCACAGTGGGCCTCGCCAATAGACACAGGCTCTCCTTCCACATCTGTACTTGGTCATGGGAAAGGGAGTCCCCATTGCCTGACCGCTGGACCTGGGGAGCCCAGGTAGAGCACGGATTCCCATGCCGTCAGAATGCCCGGCTCCCGCACATTTAAAGTGCTTCTCAGGGGACACCCCTAACCCTGACCTTGACCAAGAGCCTTGAGCGGAGGTCCCTGGTCTCTCTGATCCCATCCCCTCTGAAGGACCGCTGAGGGCCATCTCTATCAGCGGCCAGCTCTGTCCACCTGTCCAGTTGGAGCTCCTGAACACATTCGCCACCAGAGTTTTGCCTACCGGCTGCTGCTGCAGGGAACCAGTACAGAGTTTGCTCAGCCTTGGCGGTCAGCTGCCGTCCCGTAGCCCCTGTCCTCAGACTGCCAGCCACGGTCTTCAAGTCGTTCTCTGCAGAGAGTGACTCGTGCTCCAGAATCCCTTCACAGTGACTTCACAGGGTGGGACACTGTGTAGAAAACAGATTGGAGCAATGGCTGCATGACCCAGTCCACTAACGTTGGGTGGGGGAGGAGCGTCCTAGAGACCTAGCACCTTTACCCCGTCCCATTGTTTTCCGCCCAAAGTTCATGAGGTAACAGAATTTGCAAGCGGAGATTATACGCACTGACCTGTGTATCCGCCGGGCTGTGATCCCACCCCCTGGACCGCGAAAATCACCTTACAGTATGAACCACGGTAGAACTAGCCTCGGTTGGGCCTCTGATAGCGTATTGTCGGGGAGACAGTGCGGGCTTCACCCCACCTGCCTTGCTGTCACGAGCTCTCCTTCCCATTCTTACATTCAAAATAGCTTCTCCTTTGTGGTTTTTATTGGTGGCAAAGCCTCTCCTCCCAGGCCACCTGAGCACCTGGGAGCCGGCTTCCTCCTTGCCTTCCCCTCCGTCCCGCAGGGACAGCCTCATAGGCTGCTCAGTGCTGGCTGGTCTGGTGACCTCCGGGTGTGCCTGGGCCGTGGCTCCCGTTCTTCTCGTGGGTCCTTCCAGCCCCAGCCTTGCTGCTCTTACTGGCTCTGAGCAAAGGGCTCCTCGCTCCTCTTGCTGGGCTGTGTCCCCACTCCTCTTCCTTGCTGCCAAGTGCAAGTCACTGCTCCAGCAGGGGAAACGCTGCCCAGGGGCCTGCTAGTAAGAGAAAGTGTCCGTCTCTGACAGACTGTCTGCCCTCCCGTCTACCAACTCACTGGCAGATGTTGCCCCGCCAGTGAGGCGATGGACCCTGGTCTGTGTCGGGTATGTGCTTGCGGCTGGCGGCGTCTGGTTCCGTCCAGTTGTCTCATGTTGATACTGAAAATCAAAATGGGGCCCAGAGAGTAAAAGGGAGACTCTTAGAGAAGAGGAAGGAGGAAGGGGAAGAGGAAAGGCGGTTCTAGGGGGTGGAAATACTGGAAGTATACGACACACACCTATGAGTATGCCAAACCAACACCTGCCATTCCGCACAACTAACACGCACTAATAATTCAAAGGTCAGATTAGAAAGACAAAACTGGGCGAACCGCGTCTTTGAGTTATGAGGTCAGAGCTCTGGCAGTCAGAGCACAGTGCTTATGTTGGGCAGAGAGGAGACGATACCTGTGCGGGGTGGAAAAGGCATGCACGTGCTGAACTGGAAACCAACATAGATAAAGGCAACTCAGCTGAGCGGGGTGGCCCATGCCTGTAATCCCAGTGCTCTGGGAGGCTGAAGCAGGAAGATTTTGAGCCCAGCCTGGGCAACTTAGCAACAAGAGCTAAGGAAACTATTAGTATAAATTAAATATGTAGGAAACAAAGGTGATTATTAATGTACAGTCAGTACAGTTGTTGCTGTGTGAGTGAGGCCCTGCCGTGGTTCAGCTTGGTCCCTCTCTTTTCCTTCTGCTACAGAAACCTAACGATCGGGATCATAAAGTAAGGGTGGCACTAGGCAACGGCTTACGCGGAGACGTGTGGAGAGAATTTATCAAGAGATTCGGGGACATCCAAATCTACGAGTTCTACGCTTCCACGGAAGGCAACGTGGGGTTTCTGAATTACCCGAAGAAGATTGGCGCTGTGGGGAGAGTGAACTTCCTGCAAAGAGTTAAGTGTCCTGGGAAATGGTTTCCAGGGTGCGGGGACTTCTTGGAGGCTGTGTCCTGATGGTGTCGTCATCAGAGTCTCAGGCAGCATCAGTGCCGGGTCCCAGCTGTGTGATGATGACCTCAAAAAAGTCATCTCGATTACTACTCGTAATTCCTACTCAATTTCTACTCGTAACCAGCCCTGTTCCTTTGCGCTCTGCAACTGCGTGGCATCCTCCCGATGCCGTTTATACTCGGGCGAGATACAGCTGGAATCTGCTGCTTCCTGAGCTCACTATGCCCTGTGAAGCCTGACCGTGGGCGGGAGGGTGCAGCCCCATCCCGAGCCATGGGCACCCTTGTTCTGAGGTTAGGCACGGGTGTCGTTTAGGAGCAGTACAGGCTTAAGACCCACTGTTTACAAGGTGTGACTGAAAAATATAGTGACTCTGAATTTTAAAAATTGATGACAGTAAAAGACACGTTGACGTGCATCCCCCTTAAAATACTCCCCTTGGCTCAAACACACCTGTTCCATTGTCTGTGCTGCTTCCTGCAGCAGGTGTGGAAGTCCTCTTCCCTGAGTGTCTGTCGCTGCTCTGTCGTGGCTGCCTCCATGTCCTCAATGGATTTAAAATGTGGACCTTTCCTGGTCGTTCTGACTTCGGCGTTTGCACAGTGAATAAGGTGGACGAGGACACACTGTAATGTTTCACAGACCAGCCCTTGCACCGCATGGCACTTGCAGCTACATTCACCATATTTTTATTACACCTCCTAAAGACGCCCAGAAATTTTCACCACTCTTGCAAATAAGTAAAGTCTATATTTGTTGACCACTTGTTTTTTAAGGAAGTTATCTGCTTCCTGCTGAAGTATATGGTTGGTCAATGGATCCCATAGATTTGGTGCAAGTTGGAAATGGACGTAGTAATCATGGCTAACGATTACATACAAAGATTGCCATGTGTGCAGTTTCTATTATCAGGGAACATAATATACTTAGTATTACTCTTACTGAATTATTTACATTTACATCAACAGCATAAATTCTTATGCTACTGAACTGTATATTAACTAGGATAGAGTTTTAATAATTCTATAGTCAAGGACCTGAAACGATTTTACCTTTGATCCTTAAATACATTGGATAGCATATGTCCCTGACAATGAGAAGCATCTAATGGGAGCATAGGAATATACTCATACAAGATTTTGAAAACCCACCTGTGATATGCCCACCAAAAGACACACTGCTAACAATATTCCTAACAAGAGTCTTTATAATAATCCAAAACCAGAAATAAGCTGGGCATGGTGGCACACACCTGTAATCCCAGCACTCAGGAGGCTGAGGCAGGAGGACCATTGCAAGTTCAAGACCAGCCTGGGCTACAAAGTGAGCTCAAGGCCAGCCTGAACTACATAGCAAGACCCTGTCTCAAAAAGACCAAAAACTAAAAAAAAAAACAAAACCAGAAATAATCCCAGTTCCCATTAATAGGAGAATAAATAAATTATAGTATATTTTACCCACTAGCAGGAGAATTAGTATAAATTGTAGTACATCTACTCAAGGGAAAATTAGACACAATAAAAATGTATCGTGGGGGCTAGAGATGATAGCTCAGTGGTAGAGCACTTGCTTAGAATAAGGAGGCCCTGGGATCAATCCCCAGCACTGCAAAAAAGGAATTTAAAACTAAAAAAAAAGAAAAAGAAAAACACTAATAGGAACACCGACATGGAGGATGAGTATTCACATATACACCAAAGGGAAGAAGCAGAAATAAAAACATGCTTTTGCTTCACTTATTTGAGGTTTGCAACGAAAAGTGGTGGAAGTCAGAATGGTGGTTAGCTTCACAGAAAGGAGTCAGAGGCAAGTGAAATGAAATGTTTTACATCTTAGCCAAGGTGGTAATTCCATAGGTTTATAGAAATGCAAGGTGTCGCTAAGCTGCAGACTTAAGATGTGTGCTTTATGTACTTTCTATAGTAAAGTATTTAAAAGTGCAAAGATTTCTACTCACAACGATACGTTTTAATTTTGCTAGAAAATCGTGCATTATGAGCTGATTAAATACGATGTGGAGAAAGACGAACCCGTCCGGGATGAGAACGGCTTTTGCGTCAGAGTTCCCAGAGGTATGGTGGGCTTGCGGTTCAGGTGCCCTCTGCCTTTCCTTGTCCTGACCAACTGACTTTTAAGGGCCAATATATTCTTGCCAGAGTGGGGGAAGAAAAGAGGTGCATGTAGGTACCCTCATAAAACAGTTGTAGACATTTCCGAAGGTGCTCATTTACCACTAAAACATAATGCTCACTTCGCAGCTAGCTTGACAACCTCTTCCTCGTAAGGCAAGGGTTTTATGGGAAAAGATAGGTAACTGATCACAGAACTAAGCTGGAGGTGGTTTTTACCTTTGACTTGAACGTCAACGCAGTTGTCTGGCTATATGTATAAATCCTTCAGTAAAAGATGAATGTGAAAATAATTACAAGTGTGGCCATACAGAGTAATGTTTAGTGTATGTATATGTGAGATACATACGTATGTGTGATACATACGTATGTGCCTCTATGTGATCTAAGTGAATATGTGCATAAAAAAATACTTCCTGCAGCCAGTGGGTTGAGGACCATCAGTTTTAAGAAAAGGTTGGTACTAAAATTTGCTTGCCTCTTTCCTGTCCTGTCTTAGGTGAGGTCGGACTCCTGATTTGCAAAATCACACAACTGACACCATTTAACGGCTACGCTGGGGGGAAGAGCCATACAGAGAAGAAGAAGCTGAGAGACGTCTTCAAGAAAGGAGATGTCTATTTCAACAGCGGAGACCTCCTAACGATCGACCATGAGAATTTCATCTACTTCCACGACAGAGTTGGAGATACATTCCGGTCAGTTTCTCTGAGTCTGGAGCCCAAAACAAACGCTCACGCACAGCTTAGCTTGCTCCTGAATTGGGGCCCCACCCTCCTCCAGTCTGTGGGTGTCCGTCCTGCCTCCTGGATTCCACAGCATAAGTGTCAATCGAGGGGCGGAGTTAACGTGAAACCCGGGTCTCACGGTTTGGAGTTTATGAAGTCCACCAGCTACTCTCAACGGTCCTTTATTAGCAGTCGCGCTTAGGACAGCAGGGATTGTCTCCTTTCCAGAGGGGCTTCTCCTTAGATAAAATCCAATGCAAATGAACATGGAGCCAAGCATCTGAGGAGGAGGTCAAGGGTGCAGAGCTTCTTCCCCCTCGCCTCCCTCCCTCTCTCCTATCTTCCATCTGCAACCAAGACGGTTTCCACAGAATCCCGGGTCAGTGCAGGCAGTTGGAAAGTGGTCCTAACAGGCTGTGAACTCTCAGCGCTGTAACTGCTCGCCCAGGCATCCGGCACAGTGCCTGCCCCAGCAGTTAGCTTTGACCGGAAGGAAGGAGGAAGGGACAGAGCTGTGTAACAGTAGAAAGGTGGTGATCGCGTGGGGAGCACCGGCCGCCAGCCCCTCCTCCACCCCTGCGCAGCAGGGCTAGGACTGCTGTAGGGGAAAGAAACTCCCAGCCTGCTAGATAGCTGGGATGAGCTCATGTTCTCTAAAATCAAAGAATGGATTTTAGGAACAACAGAGGGTAAGAGCAGAGTATATTTACAGGGGAAAGAAAGTTTCTGTCAGAGAGAGATGCAAGGGTCCTGAACGCGTTGCCAAGGACCCTGCCATTTCGAGGGATTTTTATAGAGTAAATCCACAACGTGAGGCGGGTCCAAGGTGGGAAACGTGGGAACTCCAAAGGTGGGCATGAGGTGGGACAAAATTATGGTCAACCAATACGATTATGAGTATAATTGCTCAGGTAAAATTGATTACATCAAGATCAAACAGGGAAGCCAGTCACGTAGCAAGCTGGTATAAATACACACCTGGCTTTTCTTGTAGGAGGTTGAGTTAGTAGCTCTTCTGGCTTTTCAAGGTGATAGAGGCCTATTTAAAATATCAATCCCTTGCAACTAGAGACCATACTCATAAGTGAAATAAATCGGACCCACATGTGTAAACATCATATTGTCTCCCTGGTGTAGAAACCTGAAAGAGTAAGTAAAACTCAAAACATATAATAGATGATATGAAAGGGAAAGAAATTGTTCAAAGGAAGGAACCTGGGATGAGGGAAAGAAGAAAAAAGAAAGTAGGCAATATGTGTGTGTGTATATATATATATAGCTGGGATAACTGTACTGCTGATGTCTGATGGTATGTTGAAAGGAACAGTTAATGCCTAAAATTTTTTATATTCTTACCAATTTTGCATGCTTATATCTGGTAATCTGAGCAACTGATTTGAAGACAACAATACGCAATAGAACAACCATTGGTGAATTCCTACCATCTTGTCTAGTGAAACTCTGTATTATCTCTCATGTTTTGTCTAATAATTATTTTATATTCTCTTTAATGGTTTGAACAATCTTCCATTCTTACATCTGGTAATCTGAGCAACATAGTTGCAGATAACACTATGTAATATAACAACCAGGGTTAATTCCTATCCTTTTGTTTTGAAACCCTGTATGACTTTTAATGTTCTTGCTTTGTTTTATTTATGTTCGTGATGTTGGTGTGCTGCTATTCTTTTTTTTTCTTTCTCTTTTACTGCTCTCTTTAAAATAAGAAAAATATCAGTCCCTGATGTTTATCCCTAGGCAGTATGTGGGTGCACTTGTTTAACCTTTTGTCTTGAGGTCTGGCCCTCAGGAGAGATGCCTGTCTCTCCCACAGTCGCAAGGCATCTCATCTTCCGCACCGGCTCCTTCGAGGGCCCAGCCCTATCTGACTGCCTATAATATTTCTATCTAACTTAGCTGCCTATAACAGGACGGCAGGGAACAGTTCCTGACCTCAACTCTTCTCTCCCGTTTTGTGAGGTTCCCAAAGATCCTTGGGGTGCCTTCATGCCTAACAGCCCAGGACTCAGAAGCACTATCATTATTTTATACCACCTTCGTGCTATTAAGAAGGTACTTCTGAGAGACCTAAAGAATTTTTTTTTTTTTTGGTTTGTTTGTTTTTTGTCTTTTTGAGACAGGGTCTTGCTCTGCAGTTCAGGCTGGCCTTGAGCTCACTTTGTAGCCCAGGCTGCTCTCGAACTTGCAGCGATCCTCCTGCCTCAGCCTCCTGAGTGCTGGGATTACAGGTGTGGGCCACCATGCCCGGCTAAAGAATTTTTTTTTTTTTTTTTTTTTTGATTTTTGGTTTTTTTCCAGTACCGGGAATCAAACTCACAACATTGCACTTGCCAGGCAGGCACTGTGCCGCTGAGCTAAATCCCCAGCCCCTACAGAATTTTTTATATAAAATAAAATTCAACTCTTTAGTAGGTGAAAAATAGTTCACAGGGGGCCCTAGCATTAACATTACCAAAGTCTGATTTTTTTTTTCTTTTTAATGAAAATCTGTCTTATTGCCATGAGACCTTAAAATGCAAAAACGAAATTCTATGAAATAGCAGTTCACTAAGTGAGTTAAATAGAGGCTTGTTGATCGGTGAGAAAAGTGAGAGACCTGAACATGGCCAAAAGGGGAGCTGATGTGCTTCTGGTCTCTAGTGCTTTCTTGACCAAGGCTGCATCCTCCTGTGAGAGCACAGTCCAGCCCTTCGTGTTTCAGCAACCCCGAAATCCCACGCTTTAGCACCCAGCCTCTTTACCTCCTGTTCCCACAGCAGAAGGCCGTGACTGAGTTGGGGGGCTCAGGGGCCAAGACGCAGAGGCTGAGGCCAGCCTACTACCCCGAAAAGCTGGGAGGAGAACAGTGCTCTCTGCCATTGCAGCCTGGCCGGCAAGCACTGGTGACCTCTGCTTTCTTTCCAGGTGGAAAGGGGAGAACGTGGCCACCACCGAAGTCGCTGACATCATGGGCCTGGTTGAGTTTGTCGAGGAGGTGAATGTGTACGGAGTACCCGTGCCGGGTATGTACAGGACAGGAGCCACGCCTAATGCCAGCTACTGAACGTCACTTTAACTCCTGGGGGGTGACTCTCATCACTGTATTCTCCCCAGGATGGAGAACTCAACCACTCCGTCTGCCCCCAGGGAGGGGGGGCTCGTGTCTGTTCTGTGTTCTGTTGTAATAGCCACTTGGTGCTTCTGCTCTTGGGCACACTAAATCCCTTGGACACAGGCCCCTGAGCCATGTCCACGCGCCTGGACAAACATGCGTCGAGCCAGGCCTGGTGGCACACACTTGTAAGTAAACCCAGCACTTGGGAGGCTGCGGCAGTTCGAGGCCAGTCTGAACTACATAGCCAGACTCCATCTCAAAAAAAAAGTAGAAATCCAGAATTCGTCTTTTCCTGAGCCAAGAGTTTCCATGAAAATAGTCTTTATTTTCACGGTCCAGGATGGCTGCCAATGGGCCCTGTGTGGCTACTGACACTTGAAGTGAGGCTAATGCCGCGGAGGGGTTGACGTTTTCATTTTAGTTTATGCCATTTCCAGTCTTAATAGCCACCGTGCCCAGCGGCTGCCATATTGGATGGAGACCCTCTGGCCAGAATTGATCTCTAGACCACAGGTGCTGTGGACTGGAGCCTTCCTCCCACAGCTGCAAAATCCTGAAATCTGGGAGGCAGGGCAGAGGCCCGAGACCTACAGGCCCACCCGCCCCTCGGTCAGCATTGCCACTAGCAGAGCAGGAGGCACAGAGCTGGTCAGCGTGGAAGAGCTGTGTCACATCTGCTGCTGCCTTCATGCAGGACTTGGGAGCCAGGGCCCAGGAACCCTCCAAACAGGGCCTGCCTTCCTCTTTCAGATAGGAAGCAAACCAAATGAGGCAGCAGCTCTTTAAAAATGTTTTCCGTTTGTGTTTTGCCTTCCTTAGAGCAGTAGATAAACACACAGTCCCCACGGGAGAGATTTCAAAAGCTGGGGCCCAGGTGACCAAGGACAGCTCCCACCCCCTCTCTGATTACAGCTAAATCGTACAGGGAAGTGGACTGGGCTCCCAGTGAGTCTGGTGCCTAATTACCACCATCCTCACAAGAAAACAAGGGCAATTGTTCTCAACCCTTCTCCACTCACAGCGCTAGCAAGGACCTCTTTTCTCTGCAGAGCTCCTTTTTCTGGAGACCTTGAGCAGAACCAGGCACCCCACAGCTCCAACCTGGGCCCGTCACCCTCTGACCCAAAGCTTCTCTGCCATGCAGACAGGTGAAGCTGTTAAGAACCTTGATTAAATAAATCAGTCTCCAAGGTGGTGTTTGTGCTTAGAGACGCCCAACTGGCCTTGCCAGCTGAGGAGGAGCCTGAGCTCAGTTCTTCATGATGGGGAGGACTTCCCACTGGGATCCAGAAAAATCTTCCCTCGGCCCCACTTAGTCCTGTGTCCACTTAGTCGGGTGTCGCCATGGGATGATGGGGTGACAGAAGATGGGCTCGGGCCAGTTCTGAGTGTTTGCTGCTGGACCTTGAGTGAGTCTCTTAATGGCTTTATGTCTCTTTCTTCTGTAAAGTGAAGACTACATTTGTACCTCTTCCGAAGGTCGTCATGAAAGTTAAATGAGATAAACTATAAAACACACTCAGGGTAGGCCTGGAACATATTAAAGACTCTAGCAATGTGTTAACTATCACTATTATTACTGTGGGTCTATTCACCTTGGAATAATTTAATATATATTTGATTTTTTTTCTGAGACATAGAGGATCCTACTGTGTATCCCTGACTGGCCTTGAATTCACAGTGATCCTCCTGCCTCAGCCTGCTAGGATTACAGGCATGTGCCGCCGTGCTAGTAACATATATTTGAAATAAAAAATGCAACTGTCCCAAGGAAACCTGTGTTACTGCCTCAGTCCACAAAGCCTCAGGGAGTAAATAAACAGCCAAACGCATCTAATGTTTTCTCACTTCATTTCTAGGTCATGAGGGTCGAATTGGAATGGCCTCCATCAAGATGAAAGAAAACCATGAGTTTGATGGAAAGAAACTCTTTCAGCACATTGTTGATTACCTGCCAGCCTACGCGAGACCCCGCTTTCTGCGGATACAGGTGAGACGCCTGCCTTATCAGCATCAACTTGCTTCTCCCTCAGAGACCCCAGTCTTAGCAGACAGTTCCCTTGCTCCCCTGGTGACTTATACCAAGTTTTCACCACCTTTTCAGGAAGCTCAGAAAGAAGTGTTGTGTTTCAATAAGGAAGCAAAAATACCAGAAAATACAGCAAGCAGAAATCCAATCCTAATCCCTTTGTCCCTGACGTGACAGGCTAGTTTATTCAACAACATTCTTAGCAAATAGCTCACACAACTGTGTTTGGTGGGGTATGACACTCCAAATAGAAGTACTCTAACTTTCCCAGTTGCGCTTTCAATTTGAAAGACGACAAAAAACAGCTGAAGGCCTTCACCTTCCTCTAGGGTAAAATTTCAATGGGCATCGTTAGCCAGTTGGAACTGCTTCCCTATCGCTGCTGAAGGGATTTTTGTTTTTGCTTTCTCGAACTCCAACCCTCTTTGTTAGTTTAACGTTCTGACTTTCGGACTTGGAGCCTCTGTGATTTTATAACTGAAGGCCTGAGAAAAGGAGGCTTAGGATTCTCGGTACAGTTGAGTGTGGAGGGGTCTTTCTATTGAGGGTCACAAAGCACTAGCATTTGGCAACCAGATGCTAAAGAGACATGAAAATGAAATATCAAGCTGGATGTGGGGGCACAGGCTTGTAATCCCAATGCCTGGGAGGCTGAGGCAGGAGGTTCATTGGGAGCTCCAGACCAGCCTGAACTGCATAGCGAGACCCTGTCTCAAAAAAAAAAGCAAAAAAAAAAAAATAGAAAATGAGATATCTTCAGGTATCTCAGTGAACATGGAAAGGAGTCTTCTAACAGACTGGGACAATAGAGTTTGTAGGTGAATGGTCCCTCTGCCCCTCCCACCATTAGCCAAGATGTTTCTGCAGCCAGACAAGCCCCTCTGCCCAGAAACCCATCCTGGTGGGCACTCTCCATGGGGGATCTTAAGGCTCTGCAGGAATAAAAACAAATCCCGCACTTATGGCCACCTCATGAACGTTTGGAAACAGGTTGTTGGGTATCATAAAAACTTACACTCACAGCTCTCGCAGGACCAGACAAACCAGTGAGTTCCCAGACCCCGATGCCCCGGCCCTCCCTCTCACCCTCTACCTTATCTATTGCAAAACATACCCACAGCGCGGGCTGCTCTTTTTCAGGACACCATTGAGATCACTGGGACTTTCAAACACCGCAAAGTGACCCTCATGGAGGAGGGCTTTAACCCCACCGTCATCAAAGACACCATGTATTTCTTGGACGACACGGCAAAGACGTACGTGCCTATGACTGAGGACATTTATAATGCCATCAGCAACAAAACGCTGAAGCTGTGAGCATTGCTGGGAGGACAACTCATCACAGTTCTTGAAAGAAGCTGAATGGACCCAGTACAGCCTCTTGATATAATCCAACTTTAATTCGATTGAAGATTATGAGGGCAATTTTTTTAGGAAAGTATGCCTACCAGTGAGGGGAGGGTTTTTTTAAAAGTACACCTCAACTTTTACACATGAAAATATTTAGAGATAATTATTTTTTCAATATGCACCTACCCTTTGTATTTGCAAACTGGCCCAGTTGGAGGGAGGGTCTTGGTTTTTTTAAAAAATGGATAATAAAATAGATGGGGGAGGGGGTGCAAAAAGATAAAATAAAATAGATGAACACCAACATATGAAATGGCACTGTCGCTTGTGTTCTTTGCCAACTTTGTTGTAAATGCAAACCCGGTATCCGTTACTCCACAGTCTCCTCAGGAGCTTGTTACTGGTGTCCCATATGAAATGGTGTAGGTCAAAATGGCGGCGGAGAGGGAAGGCGGGCCAGCAATGGGTAGTCCAGTGGGAAGGAAGCCAGCTCCAGTGTAAGGAAACCAGGTCTCTCCACCAAAAAGCATCCTCGCCACTGGGTGCAAACAGCCATGCTCCAGCAGGTGGCAGCATCATCTGCAGTCCTGGAAGGAACCTAAATCCATGGCATCAAAGTGCTCTCCATGAAGGTGTTCGGTAAATACTCTTTAGCTACACCAAGGGTCGCAAGCCCACGTGTCTTCAGGATTCACATAAGGGGTGAGGGGCGGTCACAAACGAGTGTTGGGGACACCGCTGCTCAGTCAGCTGGTTCTTGTCACGTGGGAATAAGGTCAGGTTCTGTTGATACCTCCTGAAGTCGTCTCCCAATTTCAAAAATAAAGTCTCAAAATTTTGGAAACGCCCATGAATCTCAAGCAAAGCATGTCTGTGGACAGATGAGTCCCCAGCTCTGCGGTAGCACCTCACTCTCAGGTGCATAGAGAATTGGGGTCACGTGCCCCAGGCAGGGGCTGCTTTCGCCCACCACCAGCCTTCTGCCCATCAACCCTGTTCAGGGACCTGGGGCCCTTGGATGTGGCACAAGAGTGTTGGGGACCTTCTGAGGACCCCCTCCAGACAAGCTTCCTCCTTGCCCTCCGCTGCCTCCCTGTTATAGTCTAGATCTAGAATTCCCCCGTCGTGTTCAGAGGCAGGGCTTTCACAAGGCAGTTGGATCATGGAGGCGCCATGCTGAATGTGCTGCTAGGAGGGGTCTGCTTGGAGATGGTCACTGGGGGTGACCTGGAAGGACTTCTTTCCCTTGCCCCAGCTCCTGTCTTACTGCCGTGCTTCCTGGCCGCCGTGATGGGAACAGCTGTCCTCCGCCAAACCCTTCCTCCCCGCCCCTTCCTGCCCAAGAGCCTGCTGAGCAGGGTCCCCCACAATAAGCAAGCCAAAATAAACCTCTCCTCCTTTAACTTGTGGCTGTCCAGTATTTTACCCCAGCAATGAGAAAGCGACCAAGATACCCCTTTCCTGAGCACCAGTCCCCTACTACTACTACAGCTGCCACCAGTCCAGAAGCAGGTCCCGGAGGCAAGTGCTCAAGGGGGCCTGGCCTTACCTAGAGCTGGTGTTAGGAGGTCACGGTCACTAGTCCTCATCCAGGAAGAGACCACTGTCCCTAGACTGTGTCCCTAGACTATTCGCCCCGTGTCCCTAGACTGCATGGAGATTCCTCAGGGAACCGGGGCTGGCAGGGAGCTCCGATTCCCGCCAGTTCAGGGATCCTCAATGTTACATGACGAGCGCGGTCCCCCCAACCCCCGTCCTCCGCACAGTACTAGAAACATCTTCCAACTTCTCCACTCCTCCAGCTGACTTCTGAGAAGACCCAAATCCTTGTCCCCTCTTATGACACCTAACAATAAACATCCCTGACCAGCAAAGAGGGTGACCCACGGAAAATTTGGATATGCTTCATCTTTGTGAATTTTTCCAGTAATTTACAACCATGATTGCTTCCATGTCAGCCTCTGGGACTGTTTTTCAAATTCTCTCAGCTTCTGATTTATTGATGCCCCAGTGAGAACTGGAACCCAAGTGATGCAGGCAGCACAGCCAGTGTTTCTGAGAATTTCACACGGTGCTATTGTGTTATGAGGAATCTTTCCCAGTGAAAGAGGTGCCAGCAGCGATGGCATGCTGGGTCACAAGGTGCATTTTTTCAGGTGAGAGGTGAGCACTTACCCCATTAGCCAGAACACTGGGGCCCCGACCTCCTGTCGCCTATGTTTTCAATCATGTCGTTACCACAGAAGCTCAGAAATCTGTGGCCTCGCATCCCCACCAGCCCTGACTCTCGGCTGGATCCTATGCCCCCAAAAGGCCGACTGTTGGGTTTGTGTGTGTGAAGCAAAAGCAAGCCACCACCTGAGAGAAGAAACTAACTCTCAAGACTGATTTTCCACCCAGGTGCAGTTGTACATGCCTGTAATCCCAGCTACTGGAGAGGCTGAGGCAGGAGGATCACAAGTTCGAGACCAGTTTGAGCAACTTAGCAAAAGCCTGTCTCAAAATAAAAAATGAAAAGGGCTGGGGGTGTAGCTCCGTGGTAGAGGTCTTGCCTGGTCAGTGTGAGGCCTTGGGTCCGACTCCCAGCACTAGGGGGATGAAAAGATGGACTTTTTTCTTTTAAAAGGGTCAGAAATTACGTCCATAAAAAAATATGCACAACTAGGCTTCCTTTGTTTGAAAGTATAAATGAATTTTTTTAAAAACTTAAAACTGATATCGGCATAAAATGTTCAATAAATCTGATTTAAACACATTGCCTAGAAGTTCATAGTCAGTACATAGAAGGGGCAGTGCTGGCACAGAATAATTTGGGCATGAAACTGCGATGTGAAATAGCAACTAAGAATCCACAGAAAAATAAATAATCCCAGCACTACGGGAGACGGAGGCAGGAGAATTCCAAGTTTGAGCTCATCCTGGGCAAGATCCTATCTCAAAATTTAAAACAAAAAAAAAAAAGGCTGGGGAATCTGAGCAACCTAGTTGAAGATAACAATATGTAACATAACAACCACTGTTAATTCCTTTCATTTTGTCTCCAAACCCTGTAGCACTTTTAATGTTCTTGCTTTGTTTCATTTATGTTTGTGATGTTGGTATGCTGCTATTGTCCTTTTTTTTTTCTCCTTTACTACTCTCTTTAAAATTTAAAAAAAAAAAAAAACTGGGGATGTAGATCAGTGTGACAGCCAAGTTCAGTCCCCAGTACTGCAAAAAGATAAAAAAGATTTTAAAAGCCATCTGACCAACTGCAGTGACCCCTCCTCAACGGTGATTTGTTAAATGTGTCGCCCTTTGATATAGTCACTCCGCAAACACTGAGGGGTTTCTACTGTGGGCCCAGGGAAGTGCTAGCCCCAGTGTGATGCAACTTCCATGCCTTCAAGCTGCCTGGAAAGACCAGTGGAAGGAGGCCGGGGTCCCTGCCATGTGCTTGAACTGCTGCGCATGGTTACACGGTCACCACGCTTGGCGACGGCCGGAAGTCTGTGAAGAGGGGGCTGATGAGAGATCCAGCGTCCCGGGCGTCAGGGTTCGGGGTCCGTTCGTGCGTCCGTCACACTCAGCTCCCCGAGGGAGAGACTGTCTGTCCTCGTCATCGTGTCCTCGGGGCCTGGCATTTAGTAGGCAATGATTATTTGTTGCCTGTTCATCAAACAACCCTGATAAGCATGTGTTTCCTACGCAAGCTTTTTTCTGTTAAGGGGAAGGCTTGATTAAATGATCTTTTGTAGCAGTACTGAAGACTGAACCCAGGGATCCCTGAGCTATATCCCCAACTCGTTTTATTTTTTTCATTTTGAGACAGTCTTGCTAAATTGACCACACTGGGCTCAAATGTGCAATCTCCTGCGTCAGCCTCCTGAGTGTAGCAGGGGTTACGGGAGTACGGCACCATGCCCAGCATGATTCAGAGCTTACAGTTCATGTAGAGCAATGATTCTTGCATTTGAACATTGAAAATCACGTTGGAGAGAGAGACAGAGAGAGAGAAAATGAATTGTCCTTAAATCTTATTAAACATGCAGTGCTAGATCCCAACCCCAGAATTGGAATTGGAATTTGCATTTTTAACAAATTCCCATTTGGGAATGATGCTGTTATTCAGGCATCAGACCTTGGGAGCCATTTACCAAGAAAAGGCACCCTGTGTTACACTTGGACCCTGCCGAGATGCTGCAGCTCGGTTCCTCAGAGCTGAATTCCCACTTCGAGGTTCAGCTCTTAGATCAAAGAGGCTTCCAGTGCAGACACAGGAACTGCTCAGCACAAAGAAGCACTTCGTTCTCAGATATACCCATCAATTAACACCTTATACTTCTTTCTCTCTCTTTCTCTCTCACGCACACACACACACACAATGTGACTTGCTGTAGCAGACCGACAGTGATCATAGAGCCTCTAGTCACACCTCTTTATTTGATAAAAGAAAAACACAGAGCCCCGTAGTGCAGTGATTTGCCCAAAGTCACCCAGTGAATTGACAGCACCGAGCTCCCCGTGGCTCATGCGAGAAGGAAGCACCTTCAGGGACCAGTGGTTCTGGGTGTGGTGCACGGCCAGCAGGGTCAGCAGTGTCCAGAACTTTGAAGACATGCCCTGCCTTGCCTCCACCTCCCGCCCCCTGAGTCAGAAGCCTGGCAATCTGGGTTTTAGCAGCGAGGCTTGGAGTGGATGCTGACGCCGGCCCACTGCAGAGCCTCTCAGCCTGCCTGAGTCACCATCACCAGGGCTGCCCACATTTTCGGCCACATTTGCCACTGTGAGAACAAGGGAATCTAACAGTGTGGTTCCCCACACGCTGCCACCCATTCACGGCACTTGGGGAGCTGCCAGAACCCCAAACAGCCAGGCGTAGTGGCACATGTCTGTAAACCCACCACTCAGGAGCAGGAGGCAGGAGGACCGCCCCAAGTTCAAGGCCAGCCTGAACTACGCAGCAAAACCCTGACTCAGAATGAACAATACCAATCACAACAACAAAACAAGCCCTGGCTCACCCAATACAACTAGCCCAAGATTTCTAGGACAAGAAGCTACGAGTCAGAGGTTATTTTAAAGACTCCCCCACGGTGATTCCAAGACAGTTTATAAACAAAGAAGCCACAGCTTTAAGTCACACGGTTTTGAGGGGGCAAACTATAGGCCACGCGTCCCACTCCAAACCTACGCTTTAAACACACAAGCTGCCTCCCTTCCCCGCTCCCCACGGCTCTTCCAAACCCACTGTCCCACCACCAAGCTCCAAACTTCAGCATCCTGAAAACCAGAATCTGTGAACCGCAGGTATTTAAACTCCAGGATACACCCTGGTTAATCAAGAGTCAATGAAGCCACCCAAATAAGGATGCATTGGTTCAGGAACAAGCACATTTATTTCTATGGTCTATTTCACATCACAAGGTGAACCATAGATGCTGCTCATTAGTGTGCTGCCCCTGGCCCTTGCTGCTGATGAGCTTCTGGAACCTTCTGGATCATTCTGCCTAAAACTCTCTACTTGTATCCTATGGCGGGTCATGAACCCTGTGAGAAACTGACCAAAATGATAGACTCACTGGCAAGAAAAATGCACATGCACATAAGCACACAGACTCTGCACACAATTGTGAGGGGTTCACAGACTCCCTGAAGCACACGCCATTGGACTCGTTGAAGATCCTGGTCTACACCATGGCCTGCAAAGGGCAGCAGGGCAGCTGGAGCCCACATTGTGAGCTGCATTCGGGAAAGCTGGGGACACTGTAGAACTTGATCAGCTTTTTGAAGGCACTTTTCTTCAGCAGCATCATCTCTTCTGGGAACCTGGAGAAGAGCCTGACCCTGGAGGATCCCCCGTTCTTAGCCGAGCCCTCGGCAGGGAATGGCTTCTGGGCGCTCACTGGCACGCTGTTGCAACTGAGGGACCGCACCGTCTTCTTCTTATTCTGCACAGACAGATAACTGAACAGGAAGGAGGAGAGCTTGTGCTTGGTGACGTCCGGGGCCTCTTCTGAAAAGCAGTCATCCAGTGGGTCCACCAGGATTTCAAGATGGCAGCTGTCTTCTCTCTTCATAGGACTGGTGCCCACACGCTGTGGCTGCTTGATGATCTTCCGGGCCTGGGCTGGGTCATCTCCCCCTCCATTGACAGACGGAAGGGGCGTTCCACCAGCCAAGGCTCTGTAGCCCCTGGTTTGAGGGCTCGGCTGGGAAGTACAGTGCTGACTGAGGACAAGCGTGGCAGCATCTCGAATGAGATTCCAGTCTCTCAGGATGTCATCCCTGGTGGTGAACTGGGATGTCACTGTGAAACGAATTATCAACTTGTTTTGGACAGTGGCCGGGATGAGGAAGAGTCGGCCATCTTTGGCTATTTCCTTTAACACACTTTCTGTGAGACAATTAGGACCCTGTTTGAAGGATAAAAAGAAGTGAAGTCTACATCACAATTCCTGGAAGCATCCCCAGAGGCCCAGTATTTGTGTGTCCAAGTGACTCAACAACCGCTCACCACTCTGGAACACCAGATGACACCAGTCGCAGAAGCCACAAAAGATGGCCTTACCTTTAGACGAAAAACCACCAGGCCGAGGTGCCTCTTGGCAGGAATTTCAAAGAAAGGATCATTTTTGACCAAAGACTCAAATACCTTCGCCATTTCAATACCCTGGAATTGTAAACATAGAGATCACAGGTTAGTAACCAGGCAAGGGATAAACTGTGCATAAACTTTCACACATGGAATGGTTTAAACCAGGGAGGGACACCTTGAACCACGTAGACCTGAAGAGCTTCGGCCTACCCATCTTCTCCATTTGATTGTGCGCCTATTCCAAGGTGGACAACTTCCACCAGCTCCTCGCTTCCTGTCACATCACAGCCACCTGGACAGCTGCACCTCGGGGCACAATTTCACGTCAGCTCCAGGACCCAGAAGCCATGTACTTTGTTACTCAGGTAAGCTCTCCTTCTATCCTGACTTCACAGCGTCTTAACTGTGAAGGAGGGCAAGTGAAGGCCCAAACAAAGCCCACGCTCTGCATCCCCCATGCCGGGTGTCCCACACAGGCAGCCTCTGCCAGGAGGAAGACACCATACAGGCACTGAAGGGACTGGCACCCGCTCGGCCTCACCCTAAACTGCATGCTCACTTGCTTCTCCAGCATCTTCCCATCTTGCTCCTAGAACGCCCTTCCACTCCACTCGCTCTGACATTCCGTGGAGGACGTATTTCACACACCATCCCCACCGACTCCATGCGTAGGCTTTGGGCCTAGTTAAGGAACGCAGGGCTGCCACTTGGGAGGGTGAGAATGTTCTAGAAATAGTGAGAATAGTTGCACAGCGTTTACTTAATGTCATGCTGAGTTGTATGGTAAAGTGGTACGATTTATCACCAAAATTTTAAGATTTTATATCATCATATTAATCTTCCATTGACATTTATATCATTTTATAAATTTCCCTCTTTTTTTGGCAGTCCTGGGGGTTGAACCCAGGGCCTTCACACTGAGCTACGTCTCCATCCACCCTCTTTTTTTTTTCTTGAGAGATGGTCTTGCTGAGTCACTAAATTGCCCAGGCTGGGCTTACATTTACAATCCTCCTGTCTCAACTCCAGAGTGCTGGAATTACAGACGTCCACTACCACGCCTGGCTGTAGCAGCCTTTCGAACCCTTCTTCTCCCCATGATGTGGTCTGTTCCAGTCTCCAACCCCTCCCCTAAAACCTTTCTTCAGCAAACCCTGAGACCCATTCTCCCAGAGGAACCATGCTGCTAATTGTTCTCTCGTTGTTTTATACCTTGCACTTCATTTTCTAATTAGTCATGATTCTCCCCACGTCTTTCCCTGTACACCAATTTCCATACCTGCCCTGCCAACTGCAACACCTTTCTGACTAAGTTTTTTTCTTCAGTCTACATGACAGCCATTAAGATGTCACGGTTACAGATCTAGAATCAAGCCAGCTAAGGACATGAAACTGATCCTTGGGAGCAAGGAGAAAAAGAAGCTATCTTTGTTGAAGGAGACGGACCCAGGAACTTTTCTCCCTTCTCGTTTTCTAGGTGGAGCCAAGGGAAAGCAACTTCCCGAGGCCCTGGTGGTGGAAAACTGGTCCCCCATTGCCACTCAGCTTCTCCTTCCACCATGCTCTGCTTCCTCCTGCAGTGCATGCACTTTGCAAAGGCAGAGCAGAGAGTCAGGGAGAGGAGAGCTCAGAGCTCTCCCCTGAGGGCAGTGAGACTGAAGCTGAGGCCAGGGCCTGTGCCTACCTGACCGGGCAGGTGGAGGACAGAGATGGTGCCACACGGACCCCGCTCCTTCCTGGGAATAAAGCGGTAGGAACACAACAGCCATGCGCTCGTGTTTACACGTCATCCACATTGACTTTGTGCCACAACACAGAGCTTGCAGCAGAGACGCTAGGGCCCACCAAGCCCAAAATACTGACTATCGGGCCTTCACAGGGAAAGTTCACCCGTCCTACTGAAGGTGATAAGAGGATGACAAGGAGAATGTATCATTAAAAGAAGACAGGAGGACGGGATGCGAAACACTCATTAGGTGCTTCACTACTGGGCCCTCTGCTCAGAATTATCTGTAAATTATCTCACCAAACTCTCACAAACAAACCTTCGGGGGGTGATATTATCATTTTCCCCTTTCATAAATTAGGAAGGCAAACACAGAAAGATTAAAAAACTTGTTCAAGGTCACCAAATAGGAAGGAAAGAACTAAAAGTCAAACCCAGGTTCCATTCTAACACACTACCCTACAACACAAAACATAACACACGGCTCTGCATAACCTTCAAGAGCTCAGCACAGAAAAGGAAGCCAGAGTCAGGAAGAAAGGACTTGCAGACAGCCAGCGTGGACGAAGCTTCCAGCCTGCTGCTCTCCAGCAGAGCAACTACCTTCCCTGAGCCTCACCCCATCAGGCTGGCCAGACCCACCTCCGCACTGTTGTAAGACTCTAACGAAATGCTATTTTCCTAAACTAAAGGCACCATGCAACTATTAACCATTCTAATCACAGTCAACCCAAAGAGATGAAATTAACTTGCATCAAACAACTTCATTTTAATTCCACCCCTTGCTGTTGTGGGAGCCTTGTAGCTCAGTCTCATGTCACTGAGTGGGTGACCTAGGATGCCAAGTTGGCAGTGACCAGCACAGAAGGAGTGCTCAGAGAAACTCCCAGAGGAGCGAGGATTAATCCACACACAGCATTTTGGAGGGAGAGGGCAATCTAGGCTAACCACATGGGCGCACAGTGGGCTGGGCAGGTGGTTTTGTTTTTGATTTTGTTTTTGTTTTTCCCGGTACCAGGAATCGAACTCACGACCTTGCACTTGCCAGGCAGGCGCAGTGCCGCTAAGCTAAATCCCCAGCCTGAACATTTTTTGGGGGGGGGGGGGCGGGTGGTTTTGATGGCCTGTGAGATGCCCAAGCAGAAGAAGGGCTGATCGTTGGACCCTGCAAGGCAGCCCCAGGAGAGTGGCTGGCATGAAAAAGAGGTGGGGAGTGGGTGGGACTCAGAGGGGTGGAGGCAGGAAGCAGCACTTGGGAAGGCTGGCAGCTGCTTGGTTCCCTGCCCTGACTGACCCCCCCAAATCATGAGTTTAAGGACAGAGGAAGAGCACCAGGTACCTAAAGTCACCCAGGATGCTGAATGGCAGCCACTCCTTGGCAAATCTCCATTGCTGATTTCAGGTGTGAAATCACAAGTTAAGACTGGCCAGTTAGGGCCTCAACTGTTGTGAGTGTGTTTGTCACAGGAAGAAAGAATTCCTTGGAGGAAAGGTGTCAAGGTCAGACACACCTAGTAATAAGGAGCAGCGGCCTTGGGTCAGCCCAGCTGCTGTTATGGGTGAACGTGTCTTTCCTGTAGGCTCTGGTGGAAACTGAAGTTCTGGGTAAAGTCCCACCACTTCCATGAAGACCAGGAGTGGGGACTCCGTCCCTTTCCTGACACCATGATTGTGGAGTTGTTGAATGGAATTGAAATACACTGTGCCAAGTGGGCCTTCCATAAACACCTGTTGGCATATTGCCCCAGACTAAGGATGTCTACCAGGCCAGGCCAGGAAAGCTGGGGTCCAGGCAGGGCCACAGTAGTGACAGAAACTTCCAGCCAGCTCTGACATTCAGGGTGGGTCCAAAAAGGTCCGATCCCACCTTGGCCATACACAGCGCCCTTGGATTTACTTTCTCTTTCTCTCCGCAAAACTCAGGCCACAGCTCCCCAAGGCCCGGTGATAACAAAAGGATTAGCAGAGAGAACAGACACCAGCAGCCCTTGGGGACAGGCTGTGCTCAGCTCTCCCCTCGCGAACAAAGAGACGCCACTGGGGTAAGCCAGGCCCAGACACTGAGCCAGACAGCAGGGCCCCCCAGGCGGGTCTGCAAAGCTGACACACGGCCTCCTCCTCACAAGAAAAGAAGGCCACCTGGGCTCAGCCCCACGGTGAACGTGCTACGTACATGTCTGACATGGGCTTGGAGATTCTTCACCCCGAAGGACCGAATCACGAACCAGAGTTTAATAGAGCGAAACCGCCGGCTCAGGGGAATCTGCCAGTGCTGGGAAGGAACAAAAGCCATGGTTAGAGACAGGGGTGCCTGCTCCCTAGGCACGCCTGGGCGTCATCTGTTGCCTGCCCATCCTCCAGGGATGGATGGTGTTGCCATGACTCTCGGATCTGTTGCTAAGGAACCACCCACGGCAAGTTACGCAAAGAATGCTCTTCTGGTGATGGTGGCCAGTAGCCTCCGTCCCACAGCAGGACCAGTGGACACCAAAACCCCTGACCTCGACCTGAGGAGAAGAGCGCTTTGCTTTCAGTGCTACTTTAATTGTTCCATCCCAGCCCGGAAAGTCAAGGCAGCGACACTGCCTTTTTAGTTTTTCTGAACAAACCTAAGTTCCTTGAACAGCAGAAGTTAAAGTTCTCTTTCTACTCTTCCCAAAATACACCAGGTGTGATCAAAAAATAGTGACTGTTTGCATTTTTTGTAAGTATTACAGTAACAGACACATTGCTGTCAGTTCCCCACAAAATACTCCCCTTCCCACCCCAAATGTATGTAACCCCAGCACTCTTGGCTCTTCCTGAGGCAGTTCTGGAAGCTCTCTTTCACACCTTTATAAGGCGTGATCAAAAATGTGGTGAATACTGCCGCCAAGCTCCCCGCCACGGCAAGGCAGCTCGTGAAAACACGACACTGTGTCCTCATCCACCTTACTCACTGCATCTGGCCCTGGGTGACTTCTGGCTCATCTCAAAGTCAAAATGACCGTGAAAGGTCAATATTTTAAATCCATGCAGGACATCAAGGCAGCCATGACAGCACAACTGCAGACACCCCAGGGGAGATGGCTTCCCGAGCTGCGGCAGGAAGCGGCAGGAACAATGGGATGAGGGAGGCGTTCTGAGGGGGACGCGTGGCAAGGTGGCCCTTACTGTGATAAAAGTTTTAACACTTAAACATTCACCATATATTTCCATCACATTTCACCTAGGAGTTAAAAGTAGGGTACTCAAGAGCAAGGATCCTGGGGCCCCAAGGATGGAGTCTGTCCTCCGGCTCCGCCCCATACCAGCCATGTGACCTCGGCACGGACAGCCCAGCGCTCATCCCGAGACAGAAGGAACAGCGGTCCCGAGGCCTGAGACCAAGCGGGCTGCGGAGAGCTCAGAGGAAGTCACCCGCTGGCGCTGGCTCTTTAGACCACAAACAGCTGCCTTTCTGCTCAGGACCCCGGAAAGTGAGGTCACTCGCTCAGCCCCAGTACTCTGTCCTGACTTTCTCCCGTGAGAGTCGTGGCTCGGGGGCATCACCCAAGCTGTCAGATTTGAAGTAAGCCTCCGAATCTCCGCCTCTGTGCCCTAAAAATGCCCCTTTGCCCTGGTGACCAAATTCAATAGAGCTTAAAGTTCAAAGGTGCAGTTACCACAGACCTGAAAATTTCCACACCAGCATTAGATCAATTTCTCAGATCTGAAGACAGAACAGAGGGCTTGGAAAGCATACAGTTATTCTAATGAGTAATGTGAGTTTTAATAACCTCTCCAGCAAAGGACAAGCATCTACCGCTTGCTTGCTTCTTCCTTTCTCTTTTTCTTCTTTCTTTCTCTCTTTCTTTCTTTCTTTTTTTCTTTCCTTCTTCTTTTCTCGGTGTTAGAGATGTACTTCCCCCATGCTAGGCTGGGCTACACAACCTCTCCCACAATTTCTGTTCCCTGAAAATAAATATTTGCCTTGTCAGATATTTATCTGCCCATAAAGGATTGGCAAGTCCTCACAGGAGTCCTGATCTTCATCCTGCGCCCTATTTTTCCAAGCCAGGTGTCGCTGTGAGGCCACCCTTGTACAGACGGACAGCATTTCTCCTGCCTTAGAGCCCCGACTTCCGTTTCCAAGCAAGCTGTCTGCAGAGGAAGGGCTTCCTCTGGTCAGCAGAGGGCACCAGAGCCGGGGACAGGAGCGCCCCCTGGGGCGGGAACGAGGCGTTCACTCCACCTCTCCAACCGACCCTGCAGCAGAATGACTGGGCGCTAAACCTTGTCTCTAAAGTGTTCCGATTTCCAGGTGGGTGTCAAGCGGCCACTTCCTTTCAGCAGCAACGAACAGGGAGGCAGGGATGACTTTAACTCTGGTTCCTTCCCAGTCTTCTTTATTCCCAGTTGTTCTTCTTCTTGTCACTCTTCCAAAACCAACCATCCTGACCCAGAAGGGTGGTTCCTGATCCACAGGAGGGCTTGTGAGGGCCACCGTGGGCTCCGCATTCCCCAGAGCCCGCCCCAGGCTCCTCTGGGACCGGTCATGGCCCGTGAGTCTCCCCTGCCAGGGTCAAAACAATGCTCCATCCACGGCCGTCTCTGTGCCACCAGAGGGAAGGGGAGGACGAGGAGGGGAACTTCAGCGGGGGCAGAAACTAGTCCTGACTTTGGGTGACTCTAGAGCTGCGGGAATTAAGCTCTGGGTCTGCTCTCCTGGGGTCCTGTTCTCCTGCTGGCTGGGCTCGGAGCAGGGCTGAGCTTCTATCGAGGACTGCAGTCCTGGCGGGGCACGATGGCGCATGTCTGTAACCCCAGCACTCGGGAGGCTGAGACAGGAAGATTGTTGCGAGTGTGAGAACAGCCTGGGCTACAAAGCGAGCTTAAGGCCAGCCTGAACTGCATAGTGAGACCCTGTCTCGATAAGACAAAAAATAAAAAATAAAAAAATAAAAATAAATTTAAAAAAAGAAGACTGCAGTCCCTGGGCCCCAGGTCAGAGTGGTTGGCAGGACCCCTGGGAACACTTCAAGGACAGCAGCTGTCAGAGGTCTAGGGCTTTCCTCGTGGACTCCACAGGGTTAGAGATGGGGAAAGGGTAAGCACAAAGCAGCACCTTTGTAGAAGCAAAAATAGTTAGGGCCCATCCCCTGGGCCAGTGCTGGGAAAAGTCTCCCATTTTTGTAAGTTATCTGGAAAAGAGAGAGCACTGTAAAGATCTCAGAACTGATGGGAATGAACCGCAGGAATATCCTGAGACGCTGCGGGAAATGAACAGGAAAGGCAGCATGAAATCCGGCAGGAGCAAGGGCTGAGGTAACGCTGTGTCTGCGAGGATCTGAACACGCTACAGGACGGCGGGCATCGTCTCATGCCCAGGAACAAAACCTAGCTCTAAAAATGGCTGTGGGGAATTGTTTTTAATTTAAAATTCCTGAGGCTGGGCGTGGTGGTGTACACCTGTAATCTCAGCACTCCGGAGGCTGAGGCAGGAGGATCACTGTGAGTTCAAGGCCAGCCTGGGTTACATATGAGTTCAGGGCCACTCTGAGCTACATAGGGATACTCTGTCCTGAAAAGTCACCAGAAAGGGAAGTGGAGAGAAAAGAGCCACTCTTTGCCTATTTTCATTCACCTCTCAAGCGGCTTCTCTCCCATGGCAAGCTCCTGAATTGCAGCTCCAATCCAAAACTTCTCAAGACTCCAGGCAGTGTGAGCAGGTCCAAGGAAGTGTGGAATCAAGTGATATGGAGCTGCTATTTTATTATGGGTTTGGTTTGGGTTTTTTGTTTTTTGTTTTTTGTTTTTTGGTACCAGGAATCAAACTCAGGACCTTGTGCTTGCCAGGCAGGCACTTGTGCGGCTGAGCTAAATCCCCAGCCCAGAGCTGCTATTGTAGAGCTAAAATTCTGACACTTCTGGTTGGCAAAAAACAAACGAAACATTCCTTCACCAAGAATGACGCTCCCCGACATCACGCGCTGCCCTAGTGCTCAGAGGTGCTAATTCATTTAACTAAAGAAGCTAGGCCATTGCTCCCTTCACCACCTTCCAGAGAAGGAACCCTGGACACAGAATATGCGTCATCTGCCCGAGGCCACCCAGGCTGGTGGACGGAGGAGCCGGGGCTCAGACGCACGCGAGCTGGCCTCAGCACTTGCATGACTGACAGTTCGCTACGTGTTTTAAAAGAAGAGCTTCTAGGGTGCCACACCTGCCGTCACCCCAGCATGTGCCACACAGACGCTGTGCTACGTGACCACTGTCCCCGTGCTGGGGATGAGGGTCCCAGGGCCCTGAGAGGTCCAAGAAGTTTCCCAAAGGGCCACAGCTGCCGTGGGCTCCAGGCTCCGCTGGCCACGCTGTGTGCAGCATATGTATTTATGCCTCTCTCACCCCAAAAAGCAAAGCAAGGGCTTGTCTCCCAATGGAGCTGCGAATCTGAGGAACTGTTTCCCAACGATGCGGCACAGGCTGGGGGCGCAGGGCTGAGAGGCTGGCCGAGAGTGCTCCTCCCACGGGCCGCCAGCTCCTCACTACCACCGAGCTCCCCTGGGATGCCACTGCGAAAGCACCTCCGAGGGGCTCCTTCCCCCAGGGGATGCTCCCCGCTGCCCTGCTCTTGGGCGTGAGCAGAACGGGGTGCCCGAGCTGGAGAAGGCAACAGGGAGAACACGACAGGGGAACACTCCTGGGAATTTAAAAAGGCTGCAAATACTCAGGGAATTTTCACACCGCCTCAAAGGCAGGTCTGGGCTCGGGTCCACCCATGCGCAACTGGAGGCCAAGGGTGTCCAGTGGTGGTTCTCGGGGACGAGCTCCCAGCGGGTGGCCTTCTGAAGGAACCACCTGCGTGAGAACCGCAGGGACAGATGCGCACGGCTCCCGCCCCACCCCCGGGCACTCACCATGAAGTCGGTGGCCGCGCCCGAGTTGGCGTGCCTGAGGTAGACGGGGTTCACGCTGAAGGTCTGCTGCAGCTTCACCTTGTCCTTCACCCTGTGGGTTCCCAGCGGGCGTCACGGCCGAGGTCTCTGAGCAAGCCAGGCCTTTCCCTGTGCCCAGGCTCGCCACCGCACTCACCAGAATCCCGTGCAGTCGAAGTGCACCATCATCCACTTGGACGGGTTGAAGGTGAAGGAGTCCGCGAACTCCACCCCCTCCAGGAACCCCCGGAACTCGGGGCACAGGAAGGCCGTGCCCGCATAAGCAGCATCGATGTGGAGCCACAGCCCCTCCCTGGCACCTGGGGAGGCAAGTGTCACCTGCTAGCCACAGCCAGCTGGAGGGCGCCTCTCGCCTAGCCCAGCGGGGCGGTGGGCCGCAGAGAGAACAGCTGGAAAGGGTGGCTGGCTCAGCGTGGAGGTGGAGGACAGGTGTCACTGTGCCGGTTCGGGCTGGATGAAACACCACTGCCCCCGAAGGGGAAAGTCTGCAAAACCCCAGCCCAGCCCTTCCGGCTCTGTGGACAGACTCGACACCCCCACGGCCTCTACCTAGAGGCCAGCCTCCCACCAGCCCGGAAGGCAGCGTTAGCGTGTCCTGCAGCACTCAGGGGCGTCTCGTCCCCGGTGGGTTTCTTGCTTGGGGATTAAGCAATCTGGGTTTCTCCCCCTGGTGTCCCCCTTCCATTTCCTTTGCTGAAGCAGAATGGGAAGGAGTTCACCATGGCCTGCTCACCAAGTGGTTCAGATGTAGCGCGCTTGGAATGGATTTCAACATACAAGGGACAGGACAAGGAAACCTGGAACTCTGCGATCCTTTGGATCCTGAATGTCTCCCCGAGGCCTTGCTTTAAAGACTTCAGCCAGAGGGTGGCGCTCTTGGGAAGAGGGAAACATTAAATGGCAGGGCCTAGCCTGAGGTTTCAGGTCCTTTTCCAGTGTGTCCTCAAAGGGACCCTGATCTCGTCCTCTCTCCCTCTCTCTCTGTCTCACCCTGGCTTCTGGTGATGTGAGCAGTTTTTCTCTACTATGTGCTCCTACCATCATGTCCTGCCTATCCTCAGGCCCAAAAATGACAGGGCCAACCAACGGTGGGGTAGAGCCAACATCTTTAAATGTATTCCTTGTCTTTCAGGGGATACTCACAGATGGGACCCAGCTCGGACAGGCAGTCAAATGCACAGACCCCAGTGGTCCCTAGTGTTGCACAGACCTGGGGAAAATAAAGGCAAGTTAGGCTGGGAGAGTGGGCTCAGGGGACACGCTGGGCCTGGACAAGAGTCTCACCTCTGACACGTCTACACTGCACACCCACTAGAGCAGTGCCTGTGTTGCACTACCTTCTGCTACTGTCACCTACAGTAGCAAACGCATTTGACTTAGCAAGCTGGTCCATATATACATGTACATTTGATTTGTTTTGGTTTGGTTTTTTTGGTATCAGGAATCAAACTCAGAACCTTGCGCTTTCCAGGAAGGCGCTTGTGTCACTGAGCTATATCCCTGGTCCCTATGTTTGAAATAAAAGTTTCCCAAAGAAATATATCCTCTGGCTGTCTGAGTACACTCAGGTATTTCCCACTTCTTTCCTAAACAAACCTGCAAAGAGCAGCTCCTCGCGGATCTTTGCATTTGGGACCTCCCTGCCCGAGACTGCAGCCGGCCCCGCACCTGAGTTGCGCTACACTCGCGGGTCTTGTCGCTGTCAGCTCAGGGACCCAGTCTGACTTACAAACACAGGCACCAGGCCCCGCCGCCTGTCTTCCTCGATGGCCCTCTGGAGCACTTCCCCCCGGAGAGAGAAGTTGTCGTCCACAGACAGGAATCTGATCTTCACGAGGGAAATCAAGCCTGCCTTCTCCACCGAGGAGTGAGCCTAGGAGGGCCAAGGAACCCATTAGCAAAGGAACTCCAGGGTGAACACACCCAGAAACTGCCAAGCTGAAGACGGGAACCTAACAGAGAGATTGTCCCCACCCCCACCCCCAGCCCCGGAGACAGCAGGTCCAACCCAAGCTGCCCTGCACCCTGCGTGCTCGGGCTAGAAGGGAATTTCTCAAGGACCGAGCCTCCGGGAGCCAAGGGCCGCCCAATGCCACACACCTCACCTGGTCGGATGCGTAGGCGACGAGACGGGCGTTCAGAGAGGACGCGTCGGCGTCAGGCTCCGACTTTTGCATCTCCAGGATTTTGTCCTTCCTCGCTGCCAGGAGAGCGATCAAGGTGGACTCGCTGACCGTGCTCTGCAGGGGTGGAGTGGTTATCAGGCTGTGCGTTCCAGCTGAGTCCCCTAGGTTTAAGTTTCCCCTACATGTGTGCATGTGCGTGTGTGCGTGTGTGCGTGTGTAACAGCTACTCCCTCAGGGGCCCTTCCTCCTCCCTGACTCACACAGCTACTCTGCATTCTGAAAGCAAGTTTGCACCTAACACCAACGTCTCTATTAGAGCCGCCATAGACTAGAAAGGAATGCTCCAGAAACCAGAGAAAGAGAGAAGGAATGTTCCAGAATGTCCCATCTTTCACGTGTCTAAGGTTGTTCCCCATGCAGAACTTATTAAAAACAAAACCGCCTCAGGGATGGAGACGTCGCTCGGGGATGGAGCCCCTGGTTACCGTGTTCAAGGCCCTGGGTTTGATCCCCAGCACAGAAGGAAAAGTGCAGAGAGGAGGGGAGGGAAATGAAGAAGCAAAGCCCCTTAGCTGAGTGGTATGGGGATGGAGCGTGGGAAGTCCCAGAGAGGCTATGTGAGGAGCTGGCGGTTTGGCCTTGGTGTTGCTGCTAATGGCTCTTGTGACCTTGCGCTGATATTGCCCCTCTGCAAGACTCTGGGCGAGCAAGCAGCGCTTTAAGCTGCCTCCTGAGGGGGGCGGGTTGGATCCGATCTTCCCTGGTCATGACTGGGCACTGCGGGACCACGTCAGCCACCGCACACGAGTCCGCCTGACTTCCTGCCGTTCATTCACACAGCCCTGGGTGTCTTTGCTGATGAAATCTCCAGGTGACCCACAGCGGAGGGAACCCCACTGAACACCTGGGAGGTGCTGGCACGGGCAGTGGGCCAAATCCCACAAGATATTCAGTGGCCAGTAATTGCTCTGCAGCGAAGAAACCAGCATAATAACGGCCCTCCGTGGCATCCTCGTTCATAGTTTACAGGCTGCCTCCTCCTGTCACCCCACCTGACCCTCACCACGCCGCTCTGAGACGGTCACGCTTTTGTCATACTACAGACAAGGACAGTGACACCCAGCAAGGTCACGGGACACGGCTGAGAAACAGAAGGAGGCAGAGTTTGGCTTTGGACAGGCCTGGGCTGGAACCTTCGTCCTCCTGCTTGCCGGCTGTGTGGCCCATCATGGGAAACCTCTCTGAGCTTTATTCCTTGTCTTGAAACCTGAAGAAGGTTTACGCACAGGGATCTTGAAACAAGAAGCTGGACAGCAAGACCTGTGCAGTGGACACTGGGCCCGGCCTCCCAGGGAGGACACCCGGGGCTGTGACCACAGCAGCCACCAGTTCGGCTTTCTTGTGAGGCCGGAAGTTTAATCTCACTGCAGGCATAAGGCAGGGAGGCACCGCTGTGGCAGAGGCGTCACCGACCTTGTGGCGTTTCCTCTCGGGCAGCCCGGCTGTGTTTACTCGATAGAAGAACTCATCTCGCCCTCACACCCTCCCTTAGGACAATCCTATCACCATTTCTATGTTCTGGATTATAAAACCAGGAAAAGTACACACTACAGAATAGTCAAGAATTCAGGGTCCTCCAGCGCAGCAGCACCAAGACCAGACCAGACCACTACAGCTATAGTCGTGAAAAAAGAAATAGTTGAAGAATCATCATTTGACAGATACCCAAAGATAGGGCCAGGGAGACGGGACTGGCTTTATACTGTTTGTTTCCTTCGCCTGCACCTGGGCAGGGCGGGGGCGCTCCTTGCCTTCTCTCTTCCTTTTCACCCTTGAGGTACAAAGTGGGACAACACAGGACAGTTGTCAACGCATAGACTAAGGAGCCTGGGCCTCGCATGGAGGCCCAGGAGCGAGGTGTTCCGCGCTGGCTGCTGCTTCTCTCTCAAAGGGGGCAGCAGCTGTGTGAATGCAGGGGGCAGAGCGCAGAGGACCACGGGGTTCGTCCTGGACAGGGCAGTTGGGGTGACACGTAGGAAATGCGTGGCTCCAGGGGAGCTGGTGGGGAAGTCTGGTTTTTCTGTCACCACTGAGCCTCTGTGCCCGAAGGCAGACATCCCTCAGGCACCTGCAGGACGCCGCCGCCTTGGCTGCCGGGGTGGCCGTGCAGGAAGTGGTCAGGGAGTCCCAGCATCTTGGCCAGCCAGTCCATCATGTTCACCTCCAGCTCCGTGCACGCAGGACTGGACGCCTGGGAGGGAGAGGCGTGGGGTCAGCGCAGCCCTGGGCACCGAGACGCCCCACCAGCCCCGACCTCGCTGGGCCCTGACAGAGCAATGGGACCTAGCGAGCCCCTGAAAGACCCCATGAGATGCTCTTTCCCAAGCACACTTTCCCAAGGAAATTTTTTGACTAAGAAGACACAGCAGTCTATCCTGGAAAATAAACCAGGAATCCTCTCTTGACTCTACTCCCTTCCCCGCCCACACCTCCCATGAAAGTTCAGGCCTGCAGCGTAAGGGCGTTTCCGGTGGCTCTGGGCACAATTTGAAGCTGAATCGTGCCTAGGGGATTACAAAAGGAAGTTTGAGGATGTATCTCTAACTCCTCAGAGACGGGAGCCCAGGGGCAGTTGTGACCCAACAGTCACCAAAGTGCTTAGTTCAGACCACAACGGTAGCAATCACCAGATCTGGGTTCGAATCTCATCTATGTCTCTCTAAGCGGTGCAGCCCTGGCAAGATAAGTAGCTTACACTGCAGTTTCCTCATTTCCAAAATGGAGCCCGTACTCCCGATTCCACAGAATTAAGAGATTAGATGAGATAATTTAGACAAAAATTAGGCTTCAAGAAGGTAGCCGTGACTTGCATCGCTAGTATTTTTTTTTTATTTTTAATCGACATGGCTATTATGAAGCTTGCGCCCCCACCGAGGGACCAGAGGGTGCCTTAGGGTGCACTTCCTCCCAGCTGCCCCACTGCGGCGGTGACAGCCATTGCTACTCACCCAAGTGAAGCCCAGGCAGTTGATGGCATCGGCCAGCATGTCCCCCAGCAGGGACGGCCAAGAGGTGAGGGCTGGGTAGTAGGCATGCATGTGCGGGCTCTGCCAGTGCACCACCTGCGGGCAGAGCGTCACACGGCTGGCACCGGCGCGACTGCCGGGAGCTCCCTCCCTCGAGACCCTCCCGGCAAGAGGAAGCCCCTCTAGGGAACAGCAGGCACTTTGGAAGCAGACAAGTGCGTGGCACAACTCCATGAAAATAAGACAGGCTCCCTGGCATCCTTGCCACCTCCGTGACTCCTGTTCTGAGCTGGCGGCTCGCGGCGGCTTCGCGCACACGGAAAGGAAACAAAGCCTACGCGCCGATGCCAGACTCCACTGCTCACCCCGTGCTGCCCCTACCGGCGATCAAAGCACGGGCGACAGGAGCTCCAGAAGAGCCAGCGCTCCCTGGGAAGGGGTTCAAAGCTGGCCGGTGTGGGTGGAGTCCAGAGAGCAGAGCACGGCGGGGGGAGCGCCCAGCTCGGAGGCCAACCTCAGACTGACCGGTGAAGCACGATCAAAACCAGAGGTAAGAGGAGCCGGATGCAGAAAGGGCCCGCAGGTCTGCATCCCCGCGGCTCATCCGCTCCGTCTAATCTCTCCCCAGCTCGCGGCCTGCAAGACCCTTGTGCATTTCTGCATTGGCGTCTTTGAGCAAGGCCGCACCCTTTGCAGGAAGACGTGGCCCTGCCAAGTCACCACCCGTGTCCTCCACAAACCCTTCTCCGGCTCCTGAGCCCTCTGATCTCTTCCCGCGCCCGGGGAATGCTATGGTTCCGGGTGCTGCCCCCTGCCGAGAGCGCATTCTGGAGCACATCAGCGCACAGCTTGTGACCTAGTGTGCGCGAATTCGTATCAAGTTCAAAAGCACAGGCTACGGCCTAGATGGTGTGCATGGTAGGGGGAAAATAGAGCCTGTCTGAGGACACAGGTTCCATCCTACCTCTGTCCCTAACTATGTTCTTCTGCATTTACCACAAAGCTAAGCTAATCAACTTAAATTCCAAGACCCTGCGTTTCATTTTGCTCTCTTCAGGGTGGGCTCAGAATGTGCACTTCACACCTTGTAGGGGCTGGGAATTTAGCTCAGCAGCACAGCGCCTGCCTGGCAAGCACAAGGTCATGAGTTCAATTCCTGGTACCAGAAAACAAACAAACAAAAAAAGATAGTGACAGAGTTCCTCTACCAGGGCCTTCGGGCCCAGAATATAGCTCAGCAGCACAAGCTCCTGCCTGGCAAGTGCAAGGTTCTGAGTTCGATTCCTGGTACCAAAAAAAAAAAAAGAAGACATCTCGTGAAGCTGGGGTCTCTCTGCGCCTGCCTTGACCTCAGTTTCTCATCTCAAAGTGAAGCCTGGCGCTGTTCTGTGGGTGGGCGTGGATGAGGAATTTGCACAGCGCCAAGCACTAAGCCTAATAGTAAACTCGTGGCCTGGTGGTTGACGCGTCCCACATCCAGGCTGGACTCTCAGATCGTAAATCAATTCCTTCAGTGTTCACCAAGCGGGAGGCGCAGGAGGTATGGGCCATACCTTCCTCTTTCCACGCTCCAGCACAGTGAACCCTGACAGAGCTCCTGACGTGGAGGTTGGCGGAGCATGGGGCCTCACTGTGGGGTACTCATGCCTTGTAGGGACAGATGACAGACGAGAGCAAGACATGAACTCAAGGCGACCCAGCTCCGGAGCCCAGACACCTAAGCAGGCGCCCTCCCTCTCTCTCTCTCTCTCTGTCTGTCTCTCTGTCTGTCTGTCTGTCTGTCTCTCTGTCTGTCTCTGTCTCTGTCTCCGTCTCTCCCCCGCCCCCCAGCCATATGTATATCCCCAGGTAAGTTTGTGTTTTCTAACCAGGGATGGAACGAAAGCGGAAGGAAAGCTTTTCTTCTATTAGCACCTGGGAGACAGTGGGAAGGAACCACTTATCCCAAAGGTGCAGCTGACCCGTAAGACAGCAAGAGGCCAGCTACCTCGGGGCGCCCTCCGGCAGGCAGGCAGGGCACTCTCAGAGGCTGGCGTGAGAGGAAAGACTGGGTCCTCATTATCACTGTGCCTAGTGACAGTATTTTGGAAACCCCAGAGGCCTTCTACCTCCAGCCCTATCGCCCTATCAGGAGGCAATTATCTGCTCTTGTTAGACGCACAGGATAAGATAAGCCAGAGGAGCCTTTATCCAAACAGACAGACCTCGGCCCAGCAAGACGCCTCCTCCACCGCACCCCAGCGGCCCAGGGACCGTGGGTCTGATGAATCAGCTCGCCTCGGCCTCCCAGGACGGTCGCTGACCATCTCCCTCCGGATTACAGTTAGCCCAGGACGGGAACCCAGAGATAATCTTATCGGGGAGCAGCCTTTTCAGAGAAGCTTTAGTGATGCTGACATTTTCAAAAGATGCTTGTGAAATAGACCAGTGGTCAAAGAGAAAGGGGCCTTTGGCTTCCTGCGCTGAGTGGGGGCCTCTCCCCATCCTGCCCCTGGGTGGATTTCTGTCACCTCCAAGGCCAAAGCTCTCGGGAATGAAGGGACATATCTCAGCTTCCAGACTCACCAGCTGGCCTGGACATCAGCCTCGGCAGAGAGAGGGAGGGACAGCCTGACTGGGCAACACAGAGTGGCCAGAAGGACAGAGCCTTCCGGTCAGCCTGGCTGGGGCTAAAACCTGGACCTGCCAGACCTGGATTCTGTGACTCTGGGTCGCCTCTCTAGGCCTCAGTTTCCCTGTCTGTCCATCAGGGTCACCAAGGGCCCTGCATGAGCTGGCCTGGGACGCAGGTGGGATGGATCAGGTGATGTCGCTAGGAGACGAGGACCTGATGGCCCAGGTGTCCACACGGCCAGCACAGCCGGTGCACATTCCCACCCTCCCCCTCAGGCTGTGCGCTCTGTCACCAGGATCACAGGTGCTTCCTGCCTCCGAGGACAGCTCAGCCACCTGCCTGGGGAGGAAGCTCCTGCGCTCATGTACTGAGGAAGGAGGGGCCGGCAGAGCCATCGAGGTGACAGGAAGAGCATCCTCAGGGGCTGAGTTCCCCACTGCCTTCCCTCCCTTTGGGGCAGACCCTGGGACTTTCCCCAGTCTCCTCTCCCCAGCTCTGCTGTCCTCTGTGGTCCTTTCTCCTCAAGTGCAATTTTGAAGGGTGGAGAGTGAGACAGGATCTTGCTAGGTAGCCCAGGCTGGCCTCCAGCTCACAGTGATCCTCCTGCCTCAGCCTCCCACGTGCTGGGACTATAGGCCTGCTCCACCACACCTGGCAAGCCCAATCTTCATTTCTCATCCCATCCCTTAGATGGCCGCACTTTGCTAGACAACAACTCGGGGTGCAGTCCTATCCCCCAGGCCCCCATGCAGCCCTCCAGGCAGCCGAGCAGCAGTCACCCCCTCCCAGCCCTGCCCCTGGCTCTCCACAGGCCTGGGAGCAGCTCCAATGTGGGGCAACAAGTGACTGAAGCATCCACGGCCATCCCAGACTGACTCAAGGCCGCCACCGCCCGTGTGCCCCAAAGCGCCCCGTCACCCCTGCAGCTGCACTGTCTCACCCCAGGCATGATGATGCGTTCGATGTCCCCAAAGATGCTGTCCCAGCTGTCAGGCTCCTGCGGGGCGTTTGCGGGCAGCTGGGCACGCAGGTAGCCGGGCTGCACGTCCGGGGTCACCCGCCGGTCCCTTACGGTGCTCAGGTACTGGCAGATGTAATCCACCATCTCTCTCCCTGGACGCAGCAGAGAGCCCAGGTCACAGCCTGTCCCTCTTGGGTCAGGACCGAGGGACGAGGTTAGGAATGAGACAGAGGCAGGTGCTCCTGGGGCAAGACCTGAACCCAGCACAACCTCGTTTTCAGAGTTCAGAGAGTGAAGGAGGGCGTGCGAGAGAGCATGTGAGCAAGAGGGAAAGCCCCCCCGCCCCCCGCCCCGCCAGGCCGCAGCACCAAGGTGAGGCATTTCCCTTCTTCCCCTTAGCCGCTCCTGTGCGCTCTTCTGCCGCTGTCCTTCTCGGAAAAAGAAACTTTAGAATCGGTAGCCCTTTGTATCTGATAACGGTTACACCTGGAGGTATATATATGTGCACACGCCTGCGTGCACACACACACACACACATGCACGTCCTCTGCTAGCACAGTGCTCTTAATGCAGGGGAGAACAGCCATGCGTTCACCTCTCCTGGGCATCCGTGATGCGCCCCTGCAGTGCACTCGTGGACTTCTTCCAGGATCTGATGAAAACTACAGGCACGTGCACACACACACACATGCACACACGCACACATGCACACACGCACACACGCACACATGCACACACGCACACACGCATGCACACACACACGCATGCACACATGCACACATGCACACACGCACACACGCACACATGCACACACGCACACACGCATGCACACACACACACGCATGCACACACGCACACATGCACACACGCACACACGCACACATGCACACACGCACACACGCATGCACACACACACACACATGCACACATGCACACACGCACACACACACACGCACACACGCACACACGCATGCACACACACACACACACATGCACACATGCACACACGCACACATGCATGCACACACGCACACACGCATGCAAGCACACTGTGTGCTTTCAGAGATTCCTGGAGTCCCTAAAGCACTGCCCTGGCCCGGCCGAGAGCCCTCCCAGCTGAGACGCAGAAAGGCAGCTTCTGCTCAGGCTGTGGGCTTGGAGGGGTGAGACACACAGTGCATGCCGGAGCGTGCACAGAGGCTAAGGAGAAACACGGCCAGCCTGGCCTGGAACCTCTGTAGGCCAGCTGTGCCTCTGCCCTTTCATTCCTCCGGGAAGCGGGCTCAGCCTTCAGTGCCACTGTCCCTTGCTCTCTCTCTGTCTCTCTCTGTCTCTCTCTCTGTCTCTCTCTCCCTCTCTGTCTCTCTCCCTCTCTGTCTCTCTCCTCTCTCCTTTTCTCTTTCTTTCTCTCTGTCTCTTCTCTCTCTGTGTCTCTGTGTCTCTGTCTCTGTCTCTGTCTCTCTCTCTCTCTCTCTCTCGCTGAGCCCTCCCTCTCTGTGCCATCATGTGAGTGTCTCTCCCTATCCAGCACCCTTCCTCCATAGTCCCCACACTCCTCTTTCCTCTGCAGGAGGAGGAGGACAAAGAGGAGGAAGAAGGTGAGGAAGAGCAGGAGGAGGAGGAACATGATTTTGTCCCCGTGTGTCAGCTCTCGCCAAGTTCTTACAAACAGAACTGAGGAGTCACAGAGAGATTTCAGCAGCCGGGCCTGGGGTCACACAGCTGTAACCCCATCATTCTGGGAGGCTGAGGCAGGAGGATGGAAAGTTGGCGCTCAGCCTGGGCTACATAGACAATTTGAGGCCAACCTGGAACCTAGAAAACTCCTGTCTTAAAAACTCAAAACACAAACAGATCCCTCTGCTCTCCGACTCTCAGACTGCCCGCCCGGAGCCTCGGGGAGCCGGCCCCCGGGCCACACCTGCGAGCGCAGCCTCCCCACTGCCCCCACTGTCCGGGGCGTCGGCTCTGCTCCCCAGCCGGGCTGGAGCCAGTGGGCACTTGCTGAATGCCTGGGCTGTGGACGACCCCACGGAAGGGCACTGCAAGGGTCCACACGGGGCCGGCCGAAGCGAATGAGGGCTAAGGAAAGAGAGGGAGGCTCCCAGGGACGCTAGCAGCTGAGGGGAGAGCATCCCAAGAGGTTTCAGCGTGAATTATCCCTTCCCGCAGGGAGGTGGGGGCCCCAACCGCCTGTGTCATGGGAAAGTAGCGAGGAAAAGCAAGAGGAGAGGGAGGCTGCAGGAAAGGTCAGAAGTTTTAAATCCCAACCGCATGTCCCCTGGCAGGAAGGACGCAACTGTGAGGCCCCAGCCAGGCCGGACCGCTCACCGCGCCGTCTGTACTCCTCAGGCTCCATCGTCCCCTGGGCTGGGCTCCTTGCAGACGCCGCGACGGGAGGAGGAAGGAGCGGGAGAGCTCCAGCTGCCCCTGTCCTCGGTGCTGCGCCGCGGCCGGGCCCTCCTTTAAAGGGTGAGCCCGCCGGCACCTAAGCCCCGCCCCGCAGTCCGCTCCCCGGCCTCACTGGTCCCACCCCTTGCCTCAGCCCCCAGGCCCTGCCGGATCTGAGAACCCAGGACGAAGGCTGCCGCACAGCAGCGGGCCCTCGGCACCCCAAGCCTGCATGTGGCCCGGCCCGCAGCACGCGGCTATTTCTGGGGCGCAGTCAGGAGACCCGGTCGGACACAAACCCTAACGCAGGCGCCCAGAACCAGGCCACGGCGTGCAGGACGAGCAGCCGGGCCCGTCTGACACCTGTCGCCGCTTGCTGTCGGCCGAAGGGCACGCGGTGCCAAGGACAGCACTGGGGTGGGGGGGCTGGGGCTGGCTCCCTGGGCCGCTCTGGGTCCAGCCTGAAGCTATTGGCTGACACAACGGGGTTCCTTTTTACTATTAGTCCGTGGATCCCCTCCTTCCAGCTTCTTTAACTGGGCTGTAATTAACCTGACCTAAAATAGACTTACAGAAGAGCCGGGCGTGGTAATCCCATCGCCCAGGAGGCTGAGGCAGGAGGCTCACAGTGAGTTCAAGGCCAGCCTGGGCTACACAGCAAGACCCTGTCTCAAAATACAAAACAAAACAAACTTTTGACTGACAGAACAACTATATTTAATCACATGAAGCATACTTCAAAATATGGAACCCCAGAGGAGTACATGAAGCTCAGGGAGCATCTAGGGCTGCACAAAGGAACTTCGGGGGTTGTGCGGAGGGGGCCACGCCAGGCCAGGCAGGGCGCGGGCAGGAATCATGTGGGGAAGCGATGTCCAAAGTGCGGATAACAAGTCTCTCGGGGGCCGAGAGCAGCCCGGGGCACCCTCTTCCTGCTGTGGGCAGTTTCGCCAGTGTGGGTTTCCTCCCCGCCCAGTGTCCCCACAGAAGAGCAGATAGCTTCGCAGAGCTGCGCCCCGGTCTGCAGCTTCTCAGAACGACCAGCCCAGGCTGTGCTAACCAACCACATCTCGGGGTGGCATCGTCCCTCACAGCCACATTTGGGGGTCTTGAGTCCTGAGCGTCCGCACTGTCACACAACAGCCCAAGGCCCTGTGGGCTCCGAGTGACAGGGGCAACTTTGTTGTTTATAGTGAGCCCCTTGCTCTGTTCAGGAGGCTGAGGCAGCAGGATCGCTTGAGCGCAGGATTTGAGACCATCCTGGATGGGAGATGCCCCCTCTGAAAAAGGACAGTGAGCCCCCTTTGGTCACCCCGGAATGAACGCCGTGAGGTGATTTACAGCAGCGCCCCAAAGAGCCTCAGGATGGGCCCGGTCCCTCGAGAGAGCCAAGGGTGGAGGCGGAAGCCCGGGTCAGCAGCTCCACGGCTGCCAGCTCACAGCACTTCCGAAGCTGCCCTCGGCCGCCCCTTCCTGCCCATCACAGCCCCACATACCTCTGGTCACAGCGGAGTTCTGCGTGAGAGACAGGAAAAAACCACTTGGTTTTCCTTTGCGTAAGGACACACTTAGAGAACAGCAGACTTATAGAACAGTAGGCATATTACAGCAAAGTTAGGAATCAATTCTCAGCCTGCGTCTACGCTCATGCCACCTGTCACGTAGCGAGTCTGCTAAACTCAGGCAGCCTGGACTGTCCACTTCTCTTTGATAATGCGCTGGGCCGACCTGACTGTGCCCAGCTTCTGTTTTCCTCAGTTAGAAAAATATATATTGTTTCCAACTTGCTTCAAGGACTGCATGTCTGGGGAGACTGGCCCAGTCCAGGACACTTCCAACTCTGTGTACCCTTCTCAGAGCCCCGCCCTCCCAGAATGTTCCTGTACAGAGCTGCCTGACAATACACGACGTAATTCTTGTATTCCATGTAACCAATCAGGTAACAATCTGCTATCAGCTTTGTACTTCCTGCTGGAAACCCTATTTGAACTGAACTCAAACCTGACCCTGGCTGGTGATTTGAGCCTCGGGCTTCCCCAGCCCGCTAGTGCAATAAAAGCTGCCTTCTAACTCCTCGGTGTAGAGTCTTCCATTGGAATTGGTATTGATTTCTCTGCAACACCTTTACAGAGGGCCTGGATGAGTGCCTCAGACACTCCCAGTGTGGGGCTCGGTGATGCACACCTCTAATCCCAGCACTTGGGAGGCTGAGGCAGGAGGATCATCAAGAGTTCAAGGCCAGCCTGGGCTACATAGTGAGGCCCTGTCTCGAAACAATAAATAAATAAAAATAAACGTTCCGGATGAGAATGTATGATAGTGAAGCCATTTGGGAACAGAGTCTGAAAGTGCCTCAAAAGTGGAAAGTGCAGATTTCCCCTCAAGCCAGCAATTCCACTCCAAGGTAAATATCCAAGTCAAAATAAAAACCGACGTACACACACACACATACAGGCACAAATGGATCCAGCAGCGCTCTTCACAACAAGCGAAAGGTGGGAACCATTTCCTTGGCCATCGACCAAATGCATGGATGTGTAAAATGTGTGGTGGCCACACTGCAGGACATTACTGCACAGTACAGAGGCAGGGAGGACCAGTACCTGCTCACACGGCTGAGCTTGAAGGCATGATGCTTGTCCAAGAAGCCAGAGACACACCTGCATCCCGCCACGGCCTCCACAGGAAATGGCCAGAAAGCCAAGTCTACAGATGCAGAAGCAGATCTGCAGTCCCTGGGGGGGGGTGGCTGGGGGTGACGTCTGGGGACACAGGTTTCTTTGTTGCTGCTGCTGCTTGGAGGTGGGGGGACCCATGAACAGGTTCTGCGGGTGATCTCAGGGACAGGTGCACGACGCCAAGAACGTCCTTGAAGTCATGCAGTTACTCACTTTCCCTGGCAGGCTTTCAGAGTCTGGTAACCGCAGTGTGGTGGATGACAAGTGGTGGTTGTTACGGCTGACACACTGTGTCCACTTGGGGAGTCTGGAGGTTTGGCTAAGTGACTCAGCCGTTCTGCATCTCGGGGCAAAAAAGACATGCCCTTACCCTTCTGGGACGTTGTTCGTTGTGTCAATTTGAGAAGTTTAAAAGGTTAACTGTGTAGCTCAACAGGAAACCAGAGCGCTTACCTTATTTTCACCCTGAGCCTGTACAACAGGAGGGCATAGAGATTGTGTGAGTGCTGCATGCTGGCACGCCCCCTGGGTGGGGGAGCCTGCTTACAATATACGAGAAAAAAGAGGCTGTCCCTCCCCCTTGTGCTTTTGCTGCTTTTGCTGTCTTCTGCCACCCTAAAGTGTGGTCCTTGTGCCATGCCACTCTGCCTTAGACCCAGCTGATTATAGACTAAAACCTCTACAAACAGTAAGCTAAATAAACCTTTCCTTCCTTCATTTGGGGTGTTAGATATTTTGTCTCTGCAATAAAACAAAAAAGTAACCAAGACAGTGGTCAACTTGTAACAGCCTGCTGAACTGTGTGGTGCTGGGTGTGGGAGGCCCGCCTGGGGACTGCTGCCAGCAGCATAAGAGGCAGAGCTGGAGAAGAAGTACTTAGGCTTTGGGAGCTGGGAGAAGCTGTTGGGGGCCTGTTGGAAGCTGTTGAGAAGCTGTAATGAGCTTCTGGTTTTCTTGGAGGAGCTGGTCACACTGGCTTTCCTGATGAACTTGGCTGTTCTTTTCATTGAAGGAGCTCAGGACCTTACTGAGAATAGCTTCAGTTCACTTTGGGGAAGCTCTCGTCCTCACTTTGAGCATCCCTTCCTGGCTCCAGTGCAGATCCCTCAGCCTGCTGGCACAGATCCTTCACCCTGCTGGCACAGACTTTCTAGCTTCCACCACTGACCTTTGGGCCTTCCCAGTGCAGAGCCATGAAACAGGCCTGCATGAGACTTTGTCATGGGCTCTGGGCCTCCAGCTGGACCCGTGGGAGGCATGGTTATGGGCTGTAGGTCTTCAGCTGAACTCATCAAGACATTATTGTAGGATCCAGGCCCTTAGCTAGATTCTTTGGTCTTTAGTGTGTGGACAGATTTCCTGCGCTCTCTTTGTATATGATACTTTGGATGACTATTACAAATAATCTTATAAAATATGTGTCCTGTATTATATTGTTTCCCCTTGCAAAAAACCCAAACCACGACATGTAGTAAGATTTTTAAAACAAAACAAAAAATGCTCTGAGAATATAAGATTTTTAGTGAAAAAATGGCTTAGTGGATTTATATTCCAGTGATACTGCCAATAAATTTTTCATAGGACAAATGATAATAATGACAACAATAATAGCTAAAATTTATTTTATTTTGGCTTTTTTTTTTTGAGACAAGGTCCTGCTACATAGTCCAGCTGGCCTTGAATTCACTATGTTGCCCAGGCTGGTCTCAAACATGTGGTGATTCTCCTGCCTCAGCCTCCTGAGTGCTGGAACTACAGGCAAGCACCACCACACTGGGCTAATAGCTGACACTTATCGAGCACATAAGAAAATGGCAAGCACCCAGGTAAGCATCACAAATGGAAAAGTTGTTATTTTCTCTTCATGTGTCATCTCTGCTTCTGTTCTTTCTTACATCCTGAAAATCCAATGAACCTATTTTAAACTTTTAATCTTATTTTGTATATGTATTCATTCATGTACACATATATACAGATTTTTTATTTTTCATCTTCTGTCTCTGGGATTGCTTGGAATTTTTTCTGACCTATTCTGAGTTCTCTACACAAACATTTTTAATACGATGATAGACCCATTTACTTATGTCTTAATGTCAGTTGCATTTTTTGGTTGTAAACTTTTTGTTTGCTATTTTCTATAGTTTCAACTCTTTTAAATCTCAACTTTTCCTACCTTGAACATAATAGACAGCTTGTAAAATTGCTAGTTATCAGTATAAGAGATGCCCCAGACAAATAGAAGGGGATCTGTTCTCTGACAGTGACTATCATCTCAGTGAAAATATCTCTTGGCTTTTCAGTTGTTCTATTTTAAAATTCAGTAGTTACTTTGACAGTACATAATGGAAAATAAGTAGAGAACTACTGGGTTAATAATGTCCCTTAGTTATTGTGGGCTGATCAGGTC